TTGTATATAGAAATAAGTAAATGACCAGGAGTGCAAGTTCTGATTCATACGCCAGTTGCATGTTTAGTTTAAGAACTAGGCATACTGTTTTCCAGAATAGATGTATATAACATTTTCACAAGAAATCTAGTTTCCCTGCATCCTTGTCAGCATTTGGTATTGCCACTATTTTTCCTTTAGTCGTTCTGATGGGTGTGTAGAAGCTCTTATTGTGGTCTCAACTTCTATTTCCTTAATACTAATGATGTTGAACATCTTTTTACATGCTTATTTTCCATTTGTATATATTCTTTAGTGAAAGATCTCTTTATGTCTTGTACGCATGTTCTACTTAGATCGGTTGCTCTGTTTTATTTATATATTCTAGATACTAGTATTTTAACATATACTAGATATGTGGCTTGAAAATATAATGTCCAATTCTGTAACTACTTTTTAAACAGTTTCTTTAATTGAACAAAGGTTTTTCCCTAATTTTGATTAAATTCATTTTATCATGCTTTTATGAATCATGCTTTGGTCTCAAGTCTTAAGAATTTGTTGCTTATCTCGAGATACCAAAGAGTTTTCTTTTTCTCTAAAAGTTTTATAGTTTTAAATGATTCATTTTAATTGTTGAATAAGGTGAGACTTTGGTCAATTTTGTTTTTCGCTTAGGATGCCCAATTACTCCAGCACCATTTGTTGAAGAGGCTCTTCTTTTGGTTATTTTTGTACCCTCATCAAGTCAGCTGGAGAATGAGAAGTTATACTCCATTTGTGATGCATTAAAATGCATTGTACTGTCATGTATAACTAATTAGTACAAATTTTAAAAAACTGAATAAAAGTCAGCTAGGAATTTATATGTTCATTTCTGGGCTCTGTGTTGTTGTATACCTGTGCATCTATTCCTCTATCAACAAAGAACACACTCTTGATTATAATCTGTTTTGAAATTTAATGTATTGATCCCTCCTACTTTTTGTTTTAGCTGCTATTCTAATTCTTTTGCCTTTCCACTTGTGTCTACAGAAACCCATGTGGAGTTTCCATTAGGTATTTTGTTAGACTTGTACATTTTGGGGACAAAATGTTGAGTCTTCAATCCATAATAACACATCTTTCCATTTATTTATTTTTTAATTTATTTCATCAGCAATTTATAGTTTCTACAAGTCACACGTGGCTCATTATATTTATACCTATATCAATTTTTTTGATTGTACTTTTGTCTTATGTTTATTGCTAGTACATAAAAACACAATTGATTTTAGTATGTTTACTTTTTATCTTGGAATCTTACTAAACTCATTTGCTATCTAGGATTTTGTAAACAGATGATGTTAGCTCTAAATAGGGAAAGTTTTAATTCTTCCTTTCCAATCTCTGTGGTTTTTCTTTTCCTTATTGCATTAGCTAGAATTTTTAGCACTATGCTAAATTAACCAGCTGAGAGCAGACATCTTTCCTTTGTTTTTAGTCTTGGGGTAAATAGTCATTCATCATTAAGTAGAATATTAGCTACAGTTTTGTGTGTTCTTTTTGAAGTTAAAGGATTTATCTGCTATTCCCATTGTTTTTTTCAAATCATGGATACTAAATTTTGTCCAACATTTTTTCTTTGATTGGAATGATTCTTCTTTAGCCTGTTAATATGGTGGTTGATTAAATATTAAACCAGCTTTGCACCTTTTACTGCCTCGTTTTGATTTCAGTATAAGATTCATATAATGAACTGTGTAGTATTCATTCATTCATCTTCTATTTTTTTTCTGAGATTGTATAGAATTGTTAATTTTTCTTCAAGTCTTTGGTAGAATTCTCCAGTTAAACAATCTGGATATAAACTTTTTTGCGGGGAGGGAAGGGAGTTTTTCAATTACAAATTCAATTTCCTTAATGATGCCGAGACTAACCATCTCTCACTTTTTAAAAATAACAATCAAGTATAGTCTGAGGGTGAAGAGAGGAGCCCAATAACAAAATATAATAAAAACAGCTGTGTATCTCTTCTATTGAATGCAACCTGAAAGAGAACACTAGTGCATACCAGCTGCTCTGGTTAACTGCTCAACCCCTTGTTCAGCACAGAATCTGGAAGGATGTTATGGTAGGACATTGCTCACAAGGCAGCCCAAAAAGTACAAATTTGGAAAGTTCCGAGGTCCAACTGGCAAAAGCAGTGACAAGAAAGTTATGTTTAAGCATAAGCAAAATTCTTAGAGAACACTGAACCTTGACAATATGGTTTATACCTTTGTGTGAGAAAATAACTTGTGTTGAAGTGCTCTTGTAGCTGGGAAGATAAAAAGGCAACTTGGAGCTGGGCACAGTGGTGCTTGCCTGTAGTTCTAGTTTCTGAGGCAAGAAAATCACTTTAGCTCACCATTTGAGAGAGCAACGAATGAGACCCTGTCTCAAAACAAACAATAGTACCTTGGAACTTAGATTGCTGATCACCTCTCCCTTGAGTGCTTCCCCATGAACAGGAGATCCTAAAGAGCTCTTGAATGCACCTTTTTCTATGAAGTTTTCATGTCTCCTATTGGTCAATAAAGTTTATCAATTGGGAAAAAAAAAAAAAAAGAACAAATTGTGCTACTTACTTCTAGTTAGCCTTCAATCTAAATAGAACCTTCACAATCTAAATAGAACCAACACAATCAATCACTTCCTCTCATCCTTGGCACTTAGAAAGCTGTTCTTTTGTAAGCACTTTTAAGTTGGAGGTTCTCTCCAGTGAACATCTTGACAAAAAGACCTCTTTAGGTTAACAAAAAATGGGTAAGTTTCTATAAAATGTTTAGTATATGTAGTTTTAATTCATTTAGATGCTATGAATATGGTTTGAGGACTGCCACAATTAATAAGGAAATAATCAAAGAATATTTTTGTCCAAAATTACCTTTTTGGTTTTTATTAAATTACTTCAGACATAACCATTGCCAAATGCAAGAAATTTGACCTATCATTCCTTAGTTTATTAACTAAATATCAAGTTGGTAAGAAAGTACAGTGTAAAATTGGCACATTACCCACTAGCCTACTTTTGACAGTTTTCTAACTCCCAAACTGCAAATACTTCTTATAATTTCTAAGTATTACTTCTAGACACTTCTAATATCATTTTTCAAAAATTAGGTTTGGTAATGTCTCAGACACTACAAATATCTACCTGCATTTCCAGACACACTGAAAAACTAAATGACATCTCTGTGATAAATAAAAGCATTTTAATATCAAAAATGCTTCAAGAATATCAGATACTTGAAAGGCTTACTTTTTTTGTGTGTGATCTGTACATTATCTCCCTGAAATCAGAAGTATCAGTTGATCTCATTAACTCCATGTCCTAAAATTAAAAAAAAATCCTCAAACACACTGTATACTGTAAGAATCATGGTTCTCAGAGCACTGAATATAAAATATAATACTGTGTGACACTTTAATATCAGGTTAAGACTTATAAAAAGTGAATCAAACTGTGAATTGAAGAAAATGCTGTTATTATCACTGTATACCCTCAAATACTGGAATTCATTTCATATATTGTATATTATATCTAAAATGTGCCCATTCCCATTTAGATAAAAGCATTACTATCACAAGGACAGCTTGAAAAATATAGTTTGCTGGATATTATTTTCCTATCCTTGTATTTGAATACACTATCAGGTTAATTCCGCATCACGTACGACCACAAGAATAGGATTCTAATTAGTATGTTATGCTCCATGTATGTATAATATACCAAAATGCACTCTACTGTCATGTATATCTAAAAAGAAGATATAAAAAAAAAAAAGAAAAATACGGTTTGCAAGAAATTTTTCTTTCCAATAGGGTGGATTTTCTTTTCAAAACCTTTTTTAATGAAAGGAAAGAAAAAAAAAAAAAAGGAAAACTAGGTGGAACAATTATCTTCCCATTGTCTGATTGTCTTTTATACTCCATTTCATATTTATGTGCACCAGTATGAAGAAAACACAAATAGTTTTCAGGAAAAAAAAAGCAGTTTGAAGATTAAAGTATAGAGATTTCCTGGTTATGAATTCTTAATTGGTGACCAAATTCTTATAATATGGTATTAGAAATGGGAATTACAATCCTGATATTCCCACTATTTTATCTTAATAAAGATATGCCATACCTTCAACATAGACTACTCCAAAAACATTTTCTTAAAAATAAAAATGTCATAAAAAATTATTTAAAAATATGTAGTTACAAGAAAGGACTGCTGTGGTTCACAAAATCCTGGAGACTATATGTTGTGGAAAACATCAGTAACAGTTTCAATACTACATCACAGCTTAATTATTTTACTAATAAGCATAATATGATTTGCCATAATATAAACATGGAATAAATTCAATTGAGTTCTAAAATGTGCAAACTCAACTTATGCTATTTTCAAAGTTAAATTATGATAAGTACCTACCTAGATATTTGCATGTATTATCAGCTTTGTAAATGATAAAATGCAAAATTTATCAAGTTTTAAAAATCAGTATGCTCTGACTAAGCAATTCTGAGGATATATCACAAATAATCAAAGGTACAGATTTTCAAGGATATATTCATACATTCAAGGAATGGAAAGGCCTATCTACCCAAACTAAGAATTGATTACATGATTCATCTACAAATGATGGACTCTTAAAGATGGTATTAACTCTGCAATAGGCTACAAAATAAACTGTATAGTCACATTTTAAAAATGTCTAGTGATCATTTATAAATGAAAGGCTATTATACTACATCTTGGCCTTTTAACATTTCTAGCTTCTCTACAATGACACATACTACATATGATCTTTTAAAAGAACTAAAAAGGACAAGTTTGTTCTTTGTGAAAAAAATATATTTGGGTTTAAATGAAGGCTAACACAATCTTCAAATACTCTAAAGGCATGAATATATACACATACATCTGCAAATATATGTGTATATATAAAATGATTATATTGTTAAAATAATTTTACCAAGATTAACAAAAGTTCTCCATTTCACAACCGTTATCTCTTTAGATTTTTTTTATTGAAACAGTGAGATGAAAATGCATTTTTGCAGAGTTTTTATAAAATCCTTTTGATAAAATTAAATATGAAATGAACATGCTAAATGCTGGGAAAGTAAGCCAAATCAGATCAGAAGGGAAAAAACTTCAGGTGAAAATTCAGTTAGAGAAATTTGAAAGCTTTCAATGGCCTCGGGGATTGATACTTCACTTTTAGAAATCCATGGAATTCCTCCTTTGACATAATAGTATTTCTATACTTATCACTCCTAAATTGTTGGCCATAAATGAATAGAGAAAACTTCCACCAGTGAAGAGGCAGAAACTAGAGAGGAAAAGGGTAATGAAAATTTATGTATGCATATGTGAGAGGAGTTATTAAGCTATCAACACACCAGAACCAAAATTAAATTAAAAAAAATAAGAATAAGGGTGAAGAAGCAAGAGAAAATGTGGAGCCATTTCTTTGTACAGACAATTTTCAGAATTCTCAACTGTTAATGCCCATCGGGTACATATCTTTCTAGTTCATAATAATACAGCTGATGCAAGATGTAGGACAATTCTAAACGTTAACAACTGTTTTTAGTAAGACTATTTTATTTTAAAATTTTTGAAATATAAAAATAATAAACATTATGGATATTTAACAAACAAAACATAATTCAACTATAAATAATAAAAATGTTGACAACCCCACATAAACCATGTAATACTATAAACATTCTAAGCATACAAGAGTAGTTTCTAGTTCAAGTTTTGCCTTTTTTAAGTTCAAGTTTTATTATCACTTTAAAAATAAACAAAAAGCTGCTACAGCTTAACCAATTACTTTCGCTCCACTCAAAGAGCAGGGAATATTTTTCCCCATGCCAACACACATTCATGAAATGGGATACTTATGGGCACAGGTATTAAACACTGGAACAATCCAGTCTTCAGACAAGAAAAAACTCCTTTGGTGTTTTTAGATTCAGCAGTCCACAGAAACTAAGTTAAAACAAACCACTTGTTAAAGGAAATCTTGTGCCAGACAGTATGTTCTGAAGTAGTACCACTCAAAACAAGTTCAGGATTCTGAGAATCAAAAGTAAACATATATGAATGCTTTGCTGATACTTAACAATAGTATCTTAAGAACATTCACTAAGGTGCTGGAATAAAATTTGGGGACAAAACAAAAACTCTACACATCAATGCAAAACTTGTACAATGTAATAATACATCTCTTAATAACTCATCAAGTATTCTGCAAATAGTCAAGAATTACTCTGCCTACTGTTGAGTGAAAGAAGGCAACTTGAAGCAGAGTAAGATTACATAATATTTTAGTACTAGAGACGTTTTCCAATTGACATATGAGAAAACAGCCATGCTGAATACATTTTTTAAAATTTTAGTCAAATTAATAACCTTCTTATCAAAATAATCTTTTAGGGGAAGCTGGGCACAAATAAGTGTACAGTCATTCTGTACCATTTCCTTAACTTATGAGGTGTTTCAAATAGGCTGGGCTCTTTACTTGACTCAGCGTGAACCACTTTTATAATTATGCTGCTAGATTAGAATAAATCATAAGCAATCACAGATTAAAGCCTAGCAAAGTCTAGACAACAGGTTCAAAATGATTAATGAAAGGTTTTGTAGCACCAACGACTTTTTCCTAAGACACTTGAGGGGCCTGTATCACTTTAAAGTATTATCTTGTAAACAAGACCAAAAATATTCAGTTGATCTGTACTTTGAGCATAAATATTTATAAACTCTATTAAAAAAACAAATATAGCATGACTAGAGTGGCTAATAGTGTAAAATCTAAGTATATTGAAAAATATAAAGATATATAAAAGGCTTCCATAATGCAATCATGCAGAGGTAAACCACTTCATTCATTACATAAAAGTGATTCTGTACAGTTATCTACACATAGCTCCATGAGAATCCTATTTAAGAAAATTTAAAAAATGAGAACCTATCTTTAATCAACATATGAGGATTTAAATACATAACTGACCAACTGGATCTCACAGCAATTTTCAAAAAACACAATGATCTTAATGAGAATCAAATCATCTTGACTTTTGATTCCCATTGGCATATTCAATTTGCTTTAATTTAAAAGCAAAGGGAAAAACCATGACAAAGTTGAAGGTGGTAGTAAATGGTCCACATCCATTAAAAAAAACAAAACTTAAGAGCAAGTAGGGTCTCTTCAGAAGATGTTCTTTGGGTTCTAATCTAGCAGCTGAACTACTACTTTAGGGGCAGAGAGTCTTTCCTTGAAAATCAAAAGTACCAAACTAATCTGGGAAAATGTTTTTGAATTTCCGGTAGCTAGCTACCTGCTAGTTTGTAAATGCGAATGCCCCCGGCCCCCTCAAAAAAGTCAAGTTTAAGAAAACAAATGCCTTGTTAATAACTGTCAGAAGACTTTTCACAATATGACTTTTCCCTTAACCATGCCTGTGTAACCAATGTGGATCAAAACAGATAATATTATATGTTTATTACATTCTCTTCATTTTTTATAAGACAATCACGATGCATATTCAAGGGGAAAATAATGTAGAATAGTCAGCTTTGCACACAAAAAAAGTATGTCTGGATGAACTTAAAAAAAATGGTGAATAGAATCAGTGTAACTTCACTTTCCTAATAAAGACTTGAGTGCTCAAATGCCTAAGAATCTATGAAGGAATACTGAGAAAATTTTTTTAAAAATATTGAGTGTACATGAGATTTAATCATAGTCTTGGTAATTCTAAGCCATTGTTTATAAATAATTTGTATACACATTTTTTAAAATATGGAACGCTTCACGAATTTGTGTTATCCTTGAGCATGAGCCATGCTAATCTTCTCTGTATCATTCCAATTTTAGTATATGTGCTACTGAACCAAGCACTAAGCACTTTTTAAAGCAGCTGAAACTATATAGTCTTTAACAATGTTAGACACATTATACTATTTCCCTTTGCTCATCTTTGATCATCTTTTGATGTTTGATTACAAGTGAAGAAAACAGGAAAAGCTGTGTAAACTGGACATTTAATAGATCTCTTTCAATATTTATAATCCACAGATCATCATTTATTACTCAAAAAGAAAATTATTCTCCTTGTTTTGAAGAGCTAAGAATTAAAAAAAAATAATATTTGGGTAAGCGGTGCTGGCAATGAAGTATATTCATTAAGAAATGGGCAAGCATTACAGTGTGTAAAAATATCTCATTTGTTCAAAATTATTTTAAGTGACTCTTGTAATCTCAGAAATATATCTTAAAACCAAGAAAAAATTAAAACCAAACTATGCTTAACTTTTTAATTCATTTTCTTCATTATAAATTGTTCATGCTAATGAACACACACAGTATCATGGCTTTATAGATTTCCCAGACACAATTCTCAATTTGGCTGAGGTTGAATGTACTCATATTAGGAAACTAAGAGGCCTTGTTCCTTCTTTAAGGTGTTTAAAAAAATAGTGGCTATAAAGTAAGGGGAAAAAACCTTTATGAATAAGGTCACACAGAACACACATTCAGATACTTCTGGACTCGGGTGTACTGTAAAGATAAAATGCTAATTATAGTACATGTAAACATCTATTCAATTGATAAAGGGCAACAAAATGATAGGATGATATTATCATTAACAGTCGTCTCCGGACAGGAACAGGTCTTGCTCTTGTAGTCACAAAACTAAATTCAGGCAATGATGATCTCTCTCTGCTGAAAAAAGAGAAGACTATTAAAAAAAAACTTTGCAAGAAGCAAATAATTCTAAAAATTGAGTCACACCATAAATTGATCTCCAACTTTTCTAAACATTAAAATAATCTTTTTGAGAAAGGAATCATAATCAAAGTTGCAGACAAATTACACAAAGGACTAGCTTTGGACTAAAGTGATTTTAACAAAACTTCTCTACATCATGTTTCTTTGAAACATCAAGCTTCCAAAACTCACAGCACTATAACATGGTTCTGACTGAAATTTTCAGTTAGGAAATCTAGATCCTTATCAGGTTATATATTCATAGAGATGTGGGTAGGCAGAGAAAAATTTAAAAAACATGAACTCCAAGGTATTTTAAATAAAAATAAAAATTTTCTTTAAAGTAATTGCAAGGTGTAACTAATTTCCTTAAATTCCATTCAATTACCATTTCATTCTTTAAACACTCTGTATGATATAAAATTCTATACTAAGTACTAAGGTCAAAAAGAAATGCATCAAAATGAGACAGTGTCTGGTATACCAAAAAAGACTAACTTTGGATGATGAGAAGAAAAGTGAATGGATGAAATAAAGAAACACGAAGGGAGAGACTTAGGAAGGAGTAAATATAAAAATGTGATGTGAAATTAAGAGTGCTTTCAATTAATTAAGTAATGAGCACAAAATACTAACAAAGTGCAAGATATTAGGTGTTTTTCTACTAAAGAAGTATGATGTTTTCATTTGAAATTATTGACAATGGGAGTAATGTTCACCAAAATTTCTTTCTTCCTAGGACTTTTAGGTAGCTATCTTAGAAGACTGTTTCATTTGATAAGTATATAATGTCAAAGAGAAAAAAATAGAACTATTCTTTTCTAAAAATCATATACATACCTTAGAACTAGCCAGTTCAAGATGTTAACAAAAATAAGTTTCTAATATATGGGAAAAAGAAATTTTCCTTCTGCCTTACAAATATTTTACAGTGGTGATTTAATTCTACATTAAATTTCCATTTTTAATTTATAGGATTTTAGAAGTTCTGAAAGAAAGCTCAAAAAAGTGAACTAATTTAACAATCATACAGGACATCTGTTTTAAAAGGCTAGCAAACTTTTTATAAAAGGGGGAGAGGCTCATAAATACTTAGGTAAATTCTAGGAGAACTAAATCTAATTTTCTATAATTAGTCTGTATTATGTGTAAGGGGAAAAAAGAAAATATGGATGGATAAAATCTGTATGATACTCTGATACAATCATTAATATTTCAACATACCAAACAAGCAACTGCTTTTTTTTTAAAAGACCTTTATGCCCAATAGTTAGTGTTCCAAATAAGACTGGAAATACAGTGCCCCAAAACCAGTTTTAGTAACAAGATGTTTTCTTCTATTAAGTTCAGCTATACTTGTTATAAGTAATCAGCTAAAACAGTGAAGCCTTGTCTTTACACTACTGGTTGTTACACTGGATTATATGACGATAAAACAAAAGTTATGGAATATTCTCCATTCCTGCATCATAGTTTCATTAAATGTATGGGCATCAATTAAATACTTAATTTTTATAATGTTACAATTATCCAATAACACTTAAAACAACAACTGCTCAGAGACATAAAATACTGAAATATGTAAAATGACAACTCAACCATCCCTTGAGGTAATCCTAATCAATCTTTTAACCAGTAATATATAATTTTCCTGTTTTTTCTTATAAGCAGATAACCTAAGTTGCCCTTAATCCTTTTCCCATCCCCAACTCTGCCTGCAACAGCTCATATATGCACAGTAAAGCAAAAAACTTGTTAGTTGAATTATAGAATTTAAAAATGTTTCTACTTTTAGGTAGCATATTGTAAAAAAAAGAAAGTAAACTGAAATGAACAGAGGATTTAAATCCATATTTGCATATGAAGAGACTTTCTGCATTACAGGCAGATATTTTTATTTTTAAACCTTGAGTTTAGAAACAAAAGGAAAAGTTATAATAGGGAAATGGAAGTTGCTAGTGAATAGAGAAGTTAATTTTTACTTATTAGTAGGTTGAATGGAATTTGGGAAGTCTACATATAAAACGGTACCAAGAGATATTATATGTATTATCAAAACGACATCTAAGTTGTTTCCACTGATAAGATGATAGAAACAACAGCAACAACAGACATAAAGAATTGATTTATATATATTAAATTGTTTTGGAACACTAAAATAGCACCAAAGAAACTATACGTTTGAAAGGGATCTTAGAGATCATCTAGTCCAACCCCTTTCATTTTACAGACAAGGAAACAACCCTGGATAAGGTAAGAGACTTGTCTAAGGCCACAGTTAGTTGCAGAGCTGAGACCAAAAACTGTTATCTCTTAACACTTGTCCAGTTTTCTATACTAGGTCACCTTTGGATATAAAAAATTAGTGGGATGGACTAGATTGGTGATTCTCAGTATTTGCAATCACATTCTCTAATAGAAACTCAAAGGCTATATTACCTCTGATATTACAACATTTAACACTCCCAAATATTAATGCCTTACTAATTATTGTGGAAATTTCACTAAGACTGTAAGTATAAACCCTCTAAAGAGAAGTTTAACTGTATCCACTGTTTAGCAAAATGGTCTCAGTGACTGAAAAGACCATCAAAAGAAATTTTTGTAAAATTGATAAGAATTAACAAGGGAGGTAATTGTCACCCCATTACTGGAGATTTAAATATGCATTCATTCACTATATTATCCAACAAACATTTGAGTGCCCACATGAGCCAGGCTTTATGATAAGCAGTAGAGATAAAAAGATGAATAAGACATGGTCCCCTTCCTAGAGGAGCTTGTAACATATAACCAGATAAATTATATTACAACGTAAGTATTGTAACAAAGATATGAACAAAGTGCTGCATTAAAAGGGAGGGTAAAAGTATGAACTTCCTGATGACAAATAAATATATTAATTTTGTGCAGTATCTCTGAGATAAGAACTACCACATTTACTATAAACACAATCTCATGACTTATCAATAATTAGGAAAGAAGTAGTAATGTAGTTTAATTTTTTTTTTTTGGGGGGGGGGGGGCTGGCACAAGTGGGGACGCCTGTAATCCCAGTTACTCGTGAGGTTGAGGCAAAAGGATCCCAAGTTTAAGGCCAGTTTCAGCAACTTAGTTTGGCCTTCAGCAACTTAGAGCTAGTCTCAAAAACAAAACAAAACAAAACAAATAAACAAAAAAAAAGGTAGGGGGTGGGGGTTGGGAGGAATCTGGGGATGTAGCTCAGTGGTGAAGCACTCCTGGGTTCAATCCCCAGTACCAAAAACAAAACAAAAAGTTGGCACTGAATCAGAATGCTTATATTCAAATCTAGTCCTTCCACTCATGAGCCATGACTTTGGGTAAATCACTCCATTTCTATTAGCCTAAGTTTCCTTATCTGTAAAATGGGAATTAATGACTACTTAAAATTAATGAATACTTTAAATAAAAGAACATGTAAAAAGTACAACACAGAGACTGAGTATTTATAAACATACCCATAAAAATCCATAATAAGTAATATTTATAATTAAAACCATACTAATGTCTATAAAAGTACAATTTCTGAACCTAATGAATGTTGGTAATATTTAATCTTCATACTGTCAGATCAAACTGAAACATACTTGTCTTCTGATTCATTTAAAGCAACATGGGTAAAACATTTAAAATTCTAGGTTACTAGGAAATTTAGGCTAGGTGTTTCTGGTTAGCTGTTTATGGGCTGAAATAAACACAGCAGGTAATTTCAGGTACATTATAAGGGAATTTTACAGTAATTTTTGAAACATTGGGCAAAAATTTACTAATCAAATTATAAAGCCAAAAATCAGCATGGAGATTTAACTGGCCTTCGAAAGATTTACTTTCTTTATAATACCTGTTTGGTGTAAAGAGAAGAAACGTGAGCCTCTGCCAATTTGGCACCTTTCACGACTACTAAAAAGAAAAGAAAAGAAACTTACCTAATGAATCAGAATAGCACATAGTCAACATACAAAAGACTACATAAAAGTATATCATAGATATAAGTAAAGTTTTTGGTAAAGTAAGTATTTTTGACAACTGAAATCTGAGTGTGTAATTTTAAATATAAGCAACTGCAAGTCAAAACATTCCTACAAAATAGTATTACCATCAAGAAAGTACAACTTCAACCCAAAGTGTATGGGGAAGTTTAAAAAAAAAATAGCATCCATAAATGGAATTAGTTTTTGATTATAAGGTCTCCAATATGAATGAAAGTGATTTTTTAAAATGTGATTTTTAATATTATCTCTATAATCTCAAGAGAGGCAGAAACACTTGTAATTGAAATGATGGATTTTAAAAATAAATATAATAATCTCCTACCCCCTCATTCTACAAAGAATATATTTATTTCCTGAAAACCGATATATCAACTTTCAATAATCATGTTCACTTGCCAGAGAAATCCACTTAAAAATCACAATATTGTTGCAAATTTCAAAGATTTTTATACAAGTATAGGAAATGCACACTTAAAGTATCAGACTGGAACACTTACCAAACAGTGTTTTCCTAAAGTAGTATCTATAGTACATTTCTTTATTCATACATCTTCAAATGGTCAAGTTTTCTTTCATACATCCAAAATGTAAAATGATGCTTTCTTATTCACCAAATGTTAGCTCTACTTGAAGTCTGGCTCCAAACTAATCAGCCTGCTTTTAAATTTTAAGACATCTGTTGAAAATTTATAGGATGAAACCAAACTGAAGTGGTAGAATTTTAAACATTGGATTGTACATTATTGTAAAGGTATCATTAATCATTAAGAATAAGTGATTATAGCTTCTTTTGTGATAATTGGGGGGAAGGGTAGATCACCATCTGGAATGGTCTATTTATTTTAATTTTTTATTTTCTTTTTTTTCCTTTGTTCTTTTTCTTTCTTTTCTTTTTTCTTTCTTTTTTTTCTTTTTTTTTTAATCAAGGAACATTGTCTTGGACTTTTTTTTTCTTTTTGTCACTTTTTTCTTTTCTTTTCTTTTTAAGAGACCATTCCACTTTATTTTTAACATCCAGATGCATAAGGACTCATATGTAAAGCAGTCATACACCATTATTATTAAAACCCATGTGATAAAATACATACACAAGTCCAACAAAAGGCTAATACATAGTAAAGCCTAAGCATACTACTATGTAATATTATGAGTACATAACTTGGAGACTTTAGTTAGAGTACTATGTTATCTATTCATTTTGAAAACATTCATTAAGATTTTAAATGCAAATTCATTCCTTATTTGGAGTAAAACAAAATCCTCTAAATTATAACAAGTATTGGGTCATATTTTTTCAGACCTATTCATTAAATTACAAAGAACCCAAAGAATTCTGTAATGTTCAGTAGAAGTATGTAATAAAAACATTGCATATGTTCTAGTATGATGTCTTTAGCAATTGTTTACTGAAATAAAATGCAAACATCAATCTTTCAAAATACAGGATCAGAAGGTAGTTTTCTTCTCTTTTGTCTATTTGTGAAATCCATCTTCATCACATTTTACCAAAAAATTGTTTTTACAAATATGTAAAAGTACATTAGATAATACTAATGAAACACAGGTAGAGTTCTAGCATATGCCGATCAATGATCAGTCAAATCATCTTCTCCAAGAACGAGATTCATTGTCCTCTTCTTCTTCATCATCATCTTGAAGTAATGAGTCATCCACCAAAGACTCTTCCTGAAACTTTAGGTTAAAATGTATTTAGGAATTTACCCAACAAAAAAAAAAAAGAAAAGAAAAGAAAAAAAAAAAAAAGGTGACACTTTTAAACACTGATCTCTGAGTCGAATACAATAGGTATTTTTAAAGCTAGAACATTAAAGAAACAAAAGTAACTGTTATCCACTCAATTATTTCTATTCTGTTGCTTGCAAGAAACAAGCATCAAAGAAATACCAAATTAAGACTTTGTATATGCCATTTCTCCTGCATCTAACAAATTAAACCACCATCCGTACCTTCAAAATACTACTACTTAATACTTCTTTAAAAAAAGAAAACATTAGGTTTTTGATTCTAACTCTGAACACTAAATTAACTAATGGCTTGTAAAAATTCGACTAAATTATCTATTTCTTTTCTGCTATACGTAACAAACATTTTATAGCATTCTTTTCTTTTCCCCAATCCCTTCATAAAAGTTTCTCAGACTGCTGTTCCAGACTTTTCAAAATACCTAATACCAGGAGCTCTCCTGCTTTTCTCCCCATTCAATTCAAACTCATGGAAGGACAAAGGTATAATCTAAAACATAAAATGACAAATCATGTATATGAGTTTCAAAGTATACATTTTATTCTTTCATTTGACTATGGATATGTATAACAGCCTTGAAATGCTCTTCTAACAAAATGAAGTGCCATTATGAAAATCTAACAAAGGTAAAAAAAAGAATCATTTAGTCTCCTCACCTTACCTTTATTTCTTAACCTCTTAGTTTTCCCTACAGTTTCCTTTATGACTAGGCAAAACAGAGTTGCTTACTTTTAAAATTTTTGGTTTCAAAGTGTTCTCTCACTTCCCTGTTTAAGATGCCCACACCTTTCAGTCATCATATTAATCACTATTACCCAAGAAAAATGCACTTTTCCATACCTATTCTGAAGTTTGTGGTTCTGCCTAAAATACGTTTCTCACTATATTTCCAGCTCCAGAATCTGGTTATGGAAAGCTATGTTATCACTCAGGGTCCAGCTCCACTGTCAATACCACCCTTGAATATTCTTTTGGACAGAAACAATCTCTCCTCCCTCAGGGTTTTCACAGCACGTTTTTCAAATCTTTATTCAGCATATCAGACTGCCTATTATTGTAATTAGTTTCTCAGGTATCTGCCACCACCCTCCTTTCCAGATTATAAGCTCCTTGATAGGGACCGTGTCTTATTCATTCTTGTGCCTATCACAGAATCTAGCATATAGTAGGCATTCACTAATGAACTAAAACGATATGAATTACAAGAAAGCTGAAACGTTAATACAGCAATTGAATAGAATAGATATCCTAAAACTTAAAATATTACAAATTTCCTGTGGATAAAAACTAATGAATAATTATTGTCTTCTAAGAGTAAATGAAAACTAAGTGTATGTGTGTGTGCACACATAGATATTTAAATATATGTGTGTACACATACACATAAATTTAAAATATGACTTTCATATATTCTCTCTTTGGATTAGTAATCAATAATCCTTGTCATGAATCCAGAAAATTTAAAGTCATCTGCATTTTTCTGATATCCCCTGTCTGGAATATGGCTCAAGAACAAAAGCTTTATGATGAGATCACGGCCATTTAAAAAAAAAAAAAAAAATCACACTTTATATATATACTACGAACAATAAAGGGCAAAAACAAGTGGAAAAGAAAAACATACTTCCTCTTCATCAGGTTCAACATCTTCTGTTTCCACAGCTGAAATATTAGTTATGGGTTTATTCCATGCCAGTTTTAGATCCTGCCCTTTAAAACGAGCTCCATGAACTGCAGCCTAAAAAATTAAGAACATTGGTATATAGAACATTAATAATTTCTGAAAAAAATAAATTTTGTAGTGCCTAATATTTAAATTAAAATAGCCAAATTCAACTGTAGACGACTATCTACTCATTTGCTTTTTTGGTTTTACTATTTATTATTATAATTTGCAATTTACTTTTTATGGTTATTTATTTCTAAAAATCACCAGACTTGTGATTCAATAAACTTTACAAAAGAATACAACAATAATTTTTCATAACTGAGTAAAGCTATTTTACTACTGACCAATATTTGACCAGAAGAAATATATTTACAATACAATAATATAAAACAACAATCCCAAGGCACTTCAATTTCAAATTCTTGGCTGTAGTTTCTGAATCAATGTCTAATTAAAATTAATAGGCTAAGTGAATTTTATTGCATTTCAATTGTTAATTTAAAAATGACATGTATAGTAACTACTAACTAGAAGCCTTTAACAAATACAAGAAAAAGTTTGCATGTATATTATCATCAAATTACATTAAATAATCACGACTACCATAAAAATGTTTGATGTATAACTGATATAAATATAAACATCTCGATAAATGAAGTGAAAACCCTGAACTGTTCTACTGGAAAGAGCAGTATTTCCTACAAAGCTTTTAGAACTGAATATTATAAAATTTGAACTAAGGAAACAGTCAAGACTAAGTACTTGCTACATTAAGTGACTGGTTTGGAAACAGGACATTCAAATTAAAGTAACATGAATGAACATAAATCAATGTTAGCAGCATATTGAAATAACTCATAGTCACAAGATTTATAGTACAATCTCAAAAGTACAACATAATGTGAAATGTAGAAACAATTACATGTTCTGTGACTTGTGAACAGAGTTGTGTAATATTAAAGTCCCCAGGTATAAATTTTAAATCTGCACATATAAATTTATGATAAATTTAAAAGATTTTGTGCCTATTAAAATCCAGCTGCAAGTTTTTTAGTTCATGGCCTCATAACAATGTTACAGAATTAGAATTTTTTAAAAGTTACACAGTGCAAATAACTTCTGATTTAAGATAAAATTACATTTCCTCATCCCAATGCAAATACAGTCAATCTATATAAAGATGACATTTCTTTGAAATAAACTACCAAAGTACCAAGCTAAAGTCAGAAAAGATTTTTTAAAAATCTGAAGCAATATTTCTTTTCTTTTTGGTGGTGCTGGGGATTGAACCCAGGGCCTTGTGTATGTGAGGCAAGCACTCTACCCACTGAGCTATCCCCAGCCCCCTAAAGCAATCATTTCTACAGACTTTTAAAAAAGATATGCTATAAAATTTTCTAGGTCCTAAGTTTCACAGATGAATTCTAATAAACTTTTAAGAAACATCTACCTAAATCTCAGAGCACAAAAAAAGACGGAAACTTTCCAATTACTTTTATAAAGACCAGTAATACAGATTCCTGACAAAAATAATGCTTCTCCTAAAATTTGCAATCCAATCTTACTTTTAAAACTTGATTTAAAAAGGGAAGAGCAAGAGCCAGGCGCGGTGGCACACACCTGTAATCCTAGAGTATGAGGAAGGAAGATCACTAGTTTAAAGCCAGACTCAGCAAAAGTGAAGTGCTAAGCAACTCAGTGAGACTCTGTTTCTAAATAAAATACAAAACAGGGCTGGGATGTGGCTCAGTGGCTGAGGTCCCCTGAGTACAATCCTTAATAACTCCCTAAGAAAAGGGGGGAAAGAGGTAGAAGGAGGAGGAGAAAGGAAGAGAGAAGAGCAGATTTTAATGATTTAGCAAAGAAATATAAAAATGAGATTTATAACAGAAATGGTTAGTTCAATGTTCGGGAGCAATACAAATGGAAGGGAGGGGGACCTTCATAGCTTAATAAATAAATAAGGCATGGTAAAAATCCATTTCTGATCAAAAACCTCTACAGCTTTTAATAAAACATGCAAAGTTTATATTCTATCTTAAGATAAAAATCCAGCATCATTTGGCTGGGGATGTGGCTCAAGTGGTAGCGCGCTCGCCTGGCATGCACGCAGCACTGGGTTCAATCCTCACCACCACATACAAATAAAGATGTTGTGTCTGCCGAAAACTAAAAAATAAATATTAAAAAATTCTCTCTTAAAAAAAAAAAAAATCCAGCATCACACATAGTACTAAAAATAACAAAGCATTTTCATTCATTTCATGATGAAATATTACTGCTACTAATGCTTTTAACATTTTTCTGAAGGTACTAACAACAAATAATAAAAAGGATTAACTGTAGGGATCAAGATAAAACTATCTGAAAAAACAAAAATATCAAAAGATATTATTAAGATGGTATTTATATAGATGACCAATCTTCCCACATGAGAGATGACCAATCTTCCCACATACAAAACAGCAATAAAAAGATGCATTAGTGGTAGAAAATTTTACAAATAATATGCACTACACACTGTCTCTCCCCTCCCACATATATATATACACACATAGAAAAATCTAACTTATGGGATGGTGGTATAGCTCAGTGGTAGTACATTTGCCTAGAATGTGTCTGGCCCTGAATTTGCTCTCTGAATTTGCTCTCTAAGCTGTAATTTATGAACTGATTTCCTAACACAGTCCCACCTTACGGTGGTTTTACTTTCCAAAGTTTCAGTCTAACTTGATCCAAAAATATTAATGGAAAATTCCTGATAATAAACAATTCATTGCCATTCAGAGTACCATGATGAAATCTCAATTCTACATGGAAAGTGAATTATCCACAAAGCATCCACACTATATATACTACTTGCTCCAAGAAAAATCACATTTACATAACTTATATTACAGTGTATTATTTCTAATTACTATTGTAAATCTCCTACAGTAGCTATCTCATGTTTGGGGGGTGGGGTACAGTATAAATAAGGTTTGGCACTGTCTGAACTCTCAGGCATCTACTAGGGAAGGAAGACATTGATAGGTTTGCTTTGATAAGAGAGGGACAAACACATAAAGAATACACAAAAATCAATTATGAGAAATCAGTAGACCATTCAGAAAAATAATAGGCAAATGGCATTAAGTTAACAGAAATAGAAATAAATAGCATTTAAGCATGTGAAAACAGCTCAACTTCAATCATAGGAGGAAAGTTAATCAAAACTGAAATGAAAACTGGGCATGGTATCATAACCCTGTAGTCGTAGGTTCTCAAGAGGAAGAAGCAGGACAATCCAATATTTGAGGCCAGCCTATACAACAAAGTGAGACACTGTGTTTATTCAAAACAAAACACAAAACAAACTGAATGAGTTCCCATTTTACAAGATAAAACTGTTTGATACCTCGCTGTATCAAGAATGAAGACAAAACTACATAACCATGATTTTCTGTTTTGTTTTGTCTTTGGCAAGTGGTAAAATCATTATGTAATATACACACTATGGCAAGAGCATTAAAAGTTAATGTATGCGTATATGTATGTACACATGTGTATGTATAATATGTATATTTTTTTTATTCCCAGTTTTGATCACTGAAAAGGATTAGTGACTATAACATACTTAGCATCCCTAGTACTCAGACTGTGGTTTCTTTGTTTAATTAAAAAAAGAAAAGTTCCTTAGAAAAATAATAAATTCCATGCCTGAAGAGAAAAAGTATAAAGTGAGCCAAGAATACCTTTTTAAAATTAGAAAACAAGGACACTATTTAGACCACTAGAATCCTGTCAAAAAGATTCAAGAACCAATTTATACAGTTTATTGGGCAAAAATGGGACAATTTGAACATTAATAACTGAGAACAATGGATCAATAACCATGAAATGCTTAAAAATTATTATTAAAATATCAAGGAAAGTTAAGCTCTCATTGGATATTTGATATTTAAGAAATAACATATTTAAGCATTATATTGTTCTATTTTTTTTTTTACAGTTCTATTATTGAGACGTACACATTGAAATATGAACAGATGAAATGACATAGCTCCAATATAGGAAGGGAAATGTTGTTGTAGTGAATGAGATATAAGATTGGCTAGTAGTGGATAATTGCTGAAGCTCAATGATGAGCCTGTGGGAACTCATTTTACAATTCTAATTTCTATACTATGACCTACTAAAAAAAGTGTCTTCAAGCTAAAGCATTTTATTCATAGGCTTGCCTCCAGTCCTTTGACTATTTATGCATACACACATTCATTTGAGGCTTATTGCAATGTAGAAAGGAAAGCAAGCATACACACAACAGAAAGAAAAAAGGCTGAAAATCTGACAAAGGAGAAAGAAATAACTATGAAAAGTAGTTATGAGTTCCAAGTCTTACATGGAAAAAGTTTCTGGAAAACAATTTTTTGAATGAAATTTTAAAAAAAGGTAGATTATGCAAAATTAGACAAGTTTGTTTACCTTCTCAATTCTCAAGTCCTTTAGATTGTGGTTCCATATGGATTATACAAAATGAGCCTTTCTCAAGTTTATCTGACAAGAAAATTCTTTATTATGGGAGACTGTGCCAAAGCAGAGTTCTATGGAAACTGGCAAAAATTGTTCTAAGGTATAGGTGCTTAGGGGCAGGAGTTACTTTAAATGACCACGATGAATTCCATTCCTTCAACTCTGGAACTCAAGGCACATAGCCACTTTCTCCCAAGCTTCAAACCTAATGTTAATTAATTCTGCAAGCACAGTGCCCTTCATATACCATTAATAATTGTTAAGACAATAAAAGCACACATGAAAAATACTCTACATAATTTCATTTCTTATCTACTAACATTGTTCTTGCTATAAATTTACCATTTACTTAATGAATTTCATCAACTTCTGACTATTGATACTGTATTCTCTACAAACCCAATTCTGTACTTCTAATTTTAGAAGTTCTACAGAATAAGAGTTTTGATAACATTTACTCCATCTTGCCTTTATCCTGTTCCACTGATTTGCCAATCACTCCTCATATTAAAAAAAAAAAAAAAAGCACAATAATACAATAATGGCTAATAGAGACTTTACTATATATCAGATCCTAACTTACAGGTTTTGAATCAGTAAAATCTCACAACTATTGCAAGTTGAGGGATGGGTGTCAAAATGTGTGCGTAGAACAAGGTTCTTTCTTTTTGATATGAAAAACTATACTTCTAAGTTTGGGATCATGGGCTTCATCTTTGGGACTGATTCTTCTAAGACAGTAACTTAACCATCCCTTCACCATCTCATTTTGAAAACAAGAACCTAGTATCCTAAAAAACATACTGGTAAAATTGAGAGTATGAAAAATAACATTCTATCTAATCAGTCATGTGATGAGTCTACTTTTTTCTAAATTCTATTTGGGTACTTACTCATCTTGAATACACTGGCACAGTGATAAGTAGAAAGTAAAATAAAAAATAATAGTAATCACTTTCTTACTAACCAGAATCGAAGCGTAATAACTACCTAAACTTAAAATTTAAAGTATTCTGCTTATATTCTTTAAAATACTTCAATTTTTTTCCTGGGGAAAATTTTTCTCTTCAGATATGCCTGAATGACTCAATTATATTATACCTGTACTTTCATCTAGAACTATTATGTACCTATTGGCTTACTGAAAAACAAAGAAAAATTCATTTGCTCATCAACAACAATGGTCCAGAAAATAAGAAAAGAATATCAGTTAGAAATAAACACTAGCAAAAGCTGACAATTTTCTTTTCTTGGAAAGGCCTATCTTTCATATTGAATTTACATCTGCTTATATTTTTGGTATTAGAATTTCTTACATATATGATAGCAATAGTACATAACAATCTTTTTTAATTTTTTAAGCATTCTTCCCTGTCAAAAAAAAAAAAAAAAAAAAAAAAATGGCACTCCCTACCTCAAAAGCACTAATTTTCAAATTCCTAACCACTTTTGTTCCCTAATATCAAGAAATTTCAAAATTACTTTTCTCATCTGTATTTTGCTTGTATATGATCAGCTTCAACCTTTTTATTCTTTTCAAAGAGTGTTATGAATTTTTAAGAAACTTTTTAGCTTAAGAAATGTTTATGGTTTCACAACTTTTATAACTTAATACCAAATATTTATCATAGCAGTGGGAGTTATTTCTTCCAGCCTATTAAAAAAATCCAACTAAAATGGTATTTACACTGAACAGGTAACACTCTCTAGACATATGTAACTAAAACTTACTTATTCTGTTACTTATTAAAATTTCATATAATTTAGTCCTTAAGTCTTTCTTATATATTAATTCTTGGCTTTTAAATTGTTATTCAGTTTGGAAAATAAAAATATATAAAAATACCCCAATAATTCAAATGTATGAATTGCCAAGATCATTGTAATGTCATGTGTAGCTAATAAAAAAAAATTAAATTAAATTTAAAAAAATAAATAAATAAAAAATAAACACCTAAGGTAGAAAAGGCGATATCCAAGAAAGGAGTATGTCAATAGGGCTTACCAACAGCAAAACTTCCAGAAATTATTTTAAAAGGTTTTTAGTTTTTTTCTTATCCATGCAAATATTCAGTGATTAGTATGTATATATTTGTGCATTCTAATTATACATAATAATAGGACTCATTATGTCATATTCATACACACACACATACATAACAACTTTTTCATGTTTCATTCCATAATACCTTCCCTTTCTTTACCCCCTTCCCTTTCTCTGATCTACTTTCTCCTTTACTGATCTCCCTTTTAAATTATTATTATTTGTTCTACTTTACTGATCTCCCTTTATCATCATCATCATCATCATCATCATCATTATTATTTTGACTATCAGGATTCATTGTGGTATTTTTATACAGGTTCTTACTAAATCTACAAACTTGGTAATATCATTTTTAACCTCTTGTCCAATAATAATTATCATGGTTTTATAATATCGCTATTTCCTAGAAATTAAGAAAAACATAAAGAAATGTTACTCAAACAACCTATCAATGGACTTAAAATTATCACCAAAACTGACTTTGAAAGGGAAGCTTATTACATGGCTTGTACAGACCAATATCTTTCAGAGAAAACTTGATTAAAGTTCTACATTTTTCAACAAAACAAATTTGAAAGAAAATTTTAAACTCTCACAATTATAAATAAATGACTTTTTACTTGGACAAAAGGTCTTTACATGATATAAGACTCAAAACCAGATTTTTAAGTGTTAGGTATAACTTAGTGGTAGAGTGCGTGCTTAGCATAGATGACAGACAGGTCAATCTGCAATACCACAAATCCAAAAACAAAACCTACCTGAGAGTTCCCTAGATTTTAAAGGATAAAAACTCAAGGATCAGGGATTCCTATTCTATGAAATAATACCCTAACTTAACCACCCCTACACACCCCACCAGAAACTAGATTATTCTAGGGTTCCAGTAAATACGTTTCTAAGACTTAGCAGACTCACAATCTTAACACTTGCTATAATGCCCAGAGAGTAACTCCTACCAGGTTAACCCTCAATGATGCTCCATTGTGCTGACAGGGGATACAAACAGAATAAAACAAGTTAGAAGGTTTTTCAAACTGATTATTTAGATCACCATCAACCTAAAACTTTTAAAAGGCATCTTCCAGTTAACTGTCTGGAAAACTATCTTGTGTTTTCAGTAATGCCAAAGACAAAATAGTTACATTGTCTTCCACATAAAGAATATACAGGGCTAAAAAGGCTATTATGAATCTCCCACAGGTGAAGATAACTTCTGGTCAGTCTCTGAAAAGACCACTCAACATTAACAACTATACTAAGAGTACTCTAAAAACTAGAGCTACATATCATATCTTGAGCAAAAAGAAGTACTAGTCTATTTGGGGATATGCTAAGCTAGAGGCACTTTAGAATTCAGCCTGCTAGAAACTAGGAAGCAACAGATGAGAGATAAGTATGAAGGGAAGACATGGACTGGGCTTGTGGTTCAGTGATAGAGCACTTGCCTAGCACACACAAGGCACTGGGTTCGACAAATAAAGGTATTGTGTCCATCTATAACTAAAAATGAAATAAAAAAAAAAAGGGAAGACATCAGGATTATATTCTCTGGGCTTCTATCTTAACCCTTACAACTCATTCTGTCAAAGCAGACTTTGTTCTGGGAGAGTTAAGAAAGAATAATAATGGAAAGTAGGGTAGGATCTGTATCCTTAAAAAATATTTTAAAAGATTTCATGTGTCTAAAAAATATAACTTAACATTCAACTTGGTGACTATTACACACTCTTTCACTCTCTCTACATATATGTATGCATGTTCGTGTATGTATATATCTTCTAATTGTATAACACTACATGCAGACTTGCCTAACTGCTTTAGGACATTTCTTATAGCATGAGTTCTACTTCAAATATTCTACCTATTGTCAAACATATTTATTCATTAAATTTAAACATTCATTATATTAAACCTTAAAAATTATTAATCATTTAAATCTAAATTTTTGATAAATTACTTTTAATACTTACTGCTTCTGCTTCTGCTCTTGTCTTGAATGTAATTACTGCATGAAGTGAAGAGTCATCAATCTGACAATCTTCAATTTCACCATATTGCTTTAAATTAAAAAGAAAAAAGTATTTTCACCAAATAAATATTCTGGAGCATCCACAATCCCAATGACATTAAAAACATATATATCACCCAGAATACATAACAATCCATACTGGTTAATAGAAAAGAATGGTGAATAATTTATTTTAGTACTTGGTATTATAAAATAAAGGGTAGCCCTATCTTCCAATCTCACTTCCAATTCCATACTTTCCAGAATTTGTGAACAGACTTGAGGGATATTATTCTTTAAATGAAGTAACAATGGTCAAAGTCTGAGTTCCCGAACTGACCTTCCTCTTACATTTACTACTCCAAGCCCAGAACATGCTATATTTGTTCTTAAAACAGCATACTGGATAATCAAAATACTATGAATTTTTTGTATCAATCCCAATAAATGGGGGTAAAAAAGATTCAGAGAATTTAAGCAATCTTCTGAAAGTAATTAAGTCAAATACTAAGATGCGAATCCTGGTCTTTTGATTAGAAAGTTTAACACTCCAACTAACCATGTTTTCACTTACTATACATTCTGTTATCCTCTCTTACAAGACATTTAAAAGTTAAGCACACTATATTCTGCCTATTTTGGGTTTGTGGAATTTTTTTTTACCATATATAGGAGTAACTTTTATCATATAAAATTTATGTCCCTTATATATTAAGTTCTCACCCCTAACTAAAACTATAATTATAAATTTCATTAATCATACACGTGTGCGCGCGTGTGTGTGCGCGTGCACACATACACACACACAAATTCTGTAGAGCATAAGAGAATGGACAGTAGAGCTACTCAGAAACCAGTTCTGCTAGTTACTGTGTAAACCTGAACAAGTTACTTCATCTCTTCATGTTTCATCTTCTTCATCTCAAAAATGAGCATAACAAAGGGTGATTCAAATAACTCCTAATATAATGAATTGTTTTTTAAAGCATACGGAATAATACATGCTATAAAATAAATGCTCTAAGTTTTAGCAATGATTTTTATCTCCATTATTACTGGTCTCAGCAGATAAATTAAAGAAAGTAGTCTGTTAGTCAAAATCAAAATGTGCAATAGCCAATGGTCCTTTGATTAATGTTGGCTTTCTTTTCTTCTGATATATCTCATGTGTTTCAGTTACACAAGTTATAATGGAAAAGTTCAACTTTAGACCTGTATTTCTATGTAAGATTGGTAATTTGTAATGTGAAATATCACTAACTTTTGAGTAGAATTCAAGTCTCCAAGGATATGAAAAAATTTCCATTTAGGGATTTTGAATATTTCTCAAAGCAAAATCATCTTAGTCTCAGCAAAACACAATCATAATAATAAACTGAAGTTGTTTGTTTGGATTATTTTAGCATATTCATTGCTAGTTTCCTAATTAGCTATATAACTATATGCAAGACACTTAAGTTATCTGGATCTCATTTCCCTTGTGGAAGGTATGAAAGTGATGTACATAGCCAGGAAAAATTGGGTTATATTATCTCCAAATTCTTTTCTAGTTCTCTGATTCCTTTCCTTATCCCTTTGACTCCATCAAGCACAGGACTTTCCAGACTCCTCATCCTTAAATATTAATCATCCCAGTTATTTCTTAAACATACACCATTTCTTTTATGTCCCGACAAAATATGTTAGTTGCTTCAAGGCAGGAACATGACTATCAATACTTAAATCTAAATTTCCAAAAGGTTTAAAAAAAATCATAGTATAACTATATGCAAGTTGACCTATCCTTCAATATCTAAGCTTCAGTTCTACTACCTGATTATTTTTTTTCAATATTTTTTAAAATTTATCTTTATGTGGTGCTCAGGATCGAACCCAGTGCCTTGTTGTGCTAGTCAAGTGTTCTACCACTGAGCCACAACCCCAACCCCCTGATTAACTTTTAATGTTACATTATTTTCCATCATATGCCAGTGACAAAGATACTTACTTCGCTAAGTAACTAAAGTACTTACAGTGTTTAATAAATTGCCTGAATCTATATTATATTCACACTTTAAGTGGTTTATATTAAATCAATACATATGAAATCCTTGAGGATAAGCACTGGTTACCCTATAATGCTTAGTAAAACTGATGTTTAGTAAATAATTATTGGGATACCACTAAGAATCACAACATTTAAGATTAAGCAGCACAAAGGTGGGTAAAATCTCCATTCTACACATGAGACTAATGAATTCCAGAAAGTTTTAAGTTAAATAAAGGATTAGCAGGGACTAGAATATCCTTTTCCTTTCTTTTAATTTATCTATTACCATTGTATAAAACTCTTTTAAGTAACTAAGGAAATTTAAGATCATATCAAAATTTTGCCTGCTTCAATTCTTATTAGTTTGATCAAGAATACAATATTAATAAAGAAAATTCTATTCAGAAAAAAATTTGCTATGGCCCATGTAACATGTTAAATTTTCCTTGTAAGTAAATATCAAAACTAAATTACAAGACCTGGTGCGGCAGAACATGAAGAATAAACAAACAAAACAAACTACAGGATGTCTTTGTCTGAAACAACAAAGTTTAAATCATTCATTTCATACCACCTGAAGTCCTCCTAATGTAAGAATTTTAACATTCCTTCAAGATAATTTAAAAATACTATAGTTCCCATTTTATAAATAATTAACAAAAGTATTATGGATTTAATCAAATGCTTGTTCAGATCAACTAGTTTAAATTAGTCATGTCATTTTCATAATTTTTTATTTAATTTTATCGATCATCTACAATGATGATTATCAGTAACTGTTCTCTTGGGTAGTAAAATAGTACCGCAAAATGAGGAAGAAGATCTTCTCTATCACTCTCTGTAAATGCTGAAATCTCCAATGCTCTAGGACGATGATCCACCACAGCATGACCAGGCACACCACGTCCACGACCTCGACCCCTGCCTCGGCCATGAGTGGCACCTCGACCTCTTGAATGAATTCCTCTACCCCGACCAGATGAAAGAATCCCTCGTTTCGCAGCCTACAAGAAGTCAGATGCTCAGGTTAAACAATGCAGTCGGAACACATTGAATATGTTTTATCTAAAATGTCTGGGATCGAAAACGTTTCAGATTTCAAGAGTTTATCAAATTTTGAAATATTTGCATAGACTAACACAAATCCAAAACTTTCCTTTTTGGAGCATTTGGGGTTTCAGATTAGAAACACTCAACCTGTCTTAACATAAGCCAAGTGTTATACTCTGGCAGATGAGCCAAACTTTTATGTAACTTGACATCATATTCAAATAATGTCCTATAAAAGGATCACATAATTAAATTAGAGTTTTAAACTGAAACTTTTAGGGTAGTAAGTGAATTTAGATAACAAAATAATATTAAAGGTTCTGAAATTACTAAATGTGCCTCTTTTTCTTAATTCTTGCTAAACTGTCACGATATGGTACAAAAAGATCAGCAATTTGAGATTTCTTAAATGGCATACAGTGTTGAAGATTACTTCAAAAGTCAGGTTAATACACAGACACATAATATCCACATACACAATAAATACATTTTCAATATAACATTCTATTTCTTAACCTGTTGACTCAATGGGTTAATTACTAACGGATCAGATAGGTATAGTTATCTCAAAATCATAATTTTGATCACTTATTACTAACATCATTATAGGGCCAAGGTATTATACTAATTAATATTCTACCATAACACTCTGTATGAGTAGTGTATTATTTCTTCATTCCAGAAATATTTACCAACCACTTGCACTATGCAAGTCCTTATCCTCAACAAGTTCAAAACTTAAGAGGGATAAAGAGACATCAAACAACTAAGTTATCTAGTTATATTAATGAAAAGTGACTTTAAAAAGTGATGAAATACTTTAAATATTTGAACAGAACCACCTATGATGAAGTTTCTTGAAGGTGATTTTTAATTCCCTGCTTTATCCTCAGCACCTTCAACAGTAGCTGGCAGATTGTACTTAATATTTGTTCAATGAATCAAAGAAAAAAATGCAAGTGCGACACAAGAGTTTCAATATAAGAAAAGGCACCAAAGCTGAAAGGAACACTGTTTTCCAAACAGATAAAATTCAGTGCAGTTGCATCCAGGGATCAGGATCAGCTGAATTAGGGATCAGGTTAAGGAGTTTTATAGCTAGATTTTTAGGAATACAGTAGAAGAAAGAATGAGCTGGGAAATCAGTATGTCACTATAATAGTATCAGCAAGGAAGACAGAGAAGAATAAACATTTAAATATGGAAGTTAAAATGGATAATTAAATGGATATGGACATTGAAGGAAAGGGAGGAATCAATAAAGACTCCTATACTTCTAATTTGGGTAACTGTATAAATGGGGTTTAGGAGCAAGAGAAGCACAATTCTGAATTTACTGATGAGGATATTAGACATCCAAATGGAAATGACAAGCAGGCACAACTGTCAAACTTCTATTAGTGTAAATATTTTAGTTTCTTCATCTCAAGGCAGTTAATCTTTACATTAGCCAAAATAATCATCTAAAATCCAAATAATAATGTTAAATGATATAAGTCATGCATAGAAAGACAAATATAGTATAATTTCATTCATATATAGCATCTAAAAAAACCCCCCAAACTCATAAAAGCAGAACCATGGTTAACCAAAGCCTGTACTGGCATGGAGAATGGGGAGATGTTGATCAAAGGGTACAAAGTTTCAGTTAGACAAGAAGAAGTTGTTTTGAGTATCTTGCACAGCATAGTGACTATAATTGATGATAATGTATTATATACTTCTAAGAACAGATTTTAAATGTTCTATTTTCCTAAAAAAAGTATGCGAGGTGATAGATGTTACAGCAATATCCTAAAGTATGCTCCAAGGAATACATCTCAAGATGCTCCTTGAAATATAAATTTGAGTAAACATGAATTTTTAATTGTATTTCAAGATTCACAAATTAAAAGCCTCTAAGAAACCATATAGTCAGGTTAATATATTCATGCCACCAACACTAGCATGAACGGGGACAACACAATTTCTATAACATATAATATTTTTAACATAAAACTTATTTAAAATTATCCTGGGTAGGACATGATCAAGTCCCTAGAGAATGCAAATGTCTGCATGTTTAAAACAATCCTATAGTTTCCTCTAACTCTTGACAAAATACGCCTTTAAGACAACTCTGGTAGCTGCTGTTAAGTCTTTAATACCTATACAGTAGTAACTCAATAGATTTCTACTACACTGAAACAAATACAAAAACAAAACAAAAGTGACGACATTGCCAAGAAACTGAAAACAGCATTATACTCAGATTAATCAAAATAATCTAAAACAAGAAAAATTTAAACTGTCAAATGATGAAAATAAACCTGTAAATAATATATTAATGACTCTTTCCATACATTAGAATGTAATTCTAGTTTTTAAACATTTCTGGGGAAAATATTAAAACTTATTATGTCATATAATTACGATCAATTTTGCTAGGGGTTTTTCAAAACAAACCATATAATTGGGCTGAGGATGTAGCTCAGTGGTAGAGTGCTTGCCCAGCATGTGCAAGGCCCTGGGTTTAATCCCCAGTAGCCCCCACTCCAAAAAATAACCCTATGTAACTTTATTACAAGAAAGTGGTTTATTTTCTCTTTTAAAACATCCACAGCACCATCTATAGGCAAAACTTAAGCAAGCATGTTTTTCAGTACAGTTCTACCACTAGAAGTAGGACCTTTAGAGCAAGTTAATATGCCTATATATAAAAGAATATCTCCACAAGAATGTCTGAAAAGCCTTTAATAGTTCTTAGTCCTAGGGAAAAAGAAAGGCCAAAAAGAAATAAAATTCACTAGAAATGAAGAAATCTGAGCATATAGGTAGAACCAATGCCTCACCTCATTAAATAACATTTTTCTATAATAGTTTTGAAAAAACCTGTTGTCCTCTTTCCTCTCCATTTTAATATACCAACACATATGGCAGTCAATAATTGTTGACTAGATGAAGGACATATTATTTTCAGTTAACCACTACAACTACATCTGCTTATTTTAAGTACACTGTGTAGCTGTGATAAAACATACTTCCAGCTGTAATTCTGTATACTTTCTCCTAAGTTCAGTGACTTCTTCCCCAGCTTGCATCTTCTTATATAAATCCAATTCTGTGTCAAGTAATTCTTTCTGCATCTAAAAAAAATAAATATTTTAGTTAATAATAACTAATATCCTGCATGTATACTAAACTTTAAAAAAAAAGTGAACTTCTACATAGTTTCCATTTAATCCATACATTTCTTTCCTATCTCTATTACTAATACTCCAGTCCAAGCCATGGACCACCTCTGGTTAAAAATACTGCAAGCGTTTCCTCACTTGTTGCTAATTCTACACATTTCCCTACAATTAACTTTCTGTACTACAGCCAGAGTGAGATTTCTATGGATTGATATGTAGTATTTTCAGAAAGTAACTGTGAAAAAAAAAAAAAAAAACAAAAAAAAAAGTCAAGGTGCTAATAAACAATATATAGTATGCTTTTATGTAGGTAAGAATACACATACACACACGTTTGGGTGTTTTAGACACAAACACATACATGTAGGGGTAGGGGTGTGTGTGTATTTTATGTGTTAGAAGAATAAACCAGAAATGAATGATACTGCTAGGAATGGGTCTTCTATGTGTACCTTTCTATGCAGTTTGGCTTCTGAACAATGTCACTCGTTTACTTGTTAAAAAATAATACTAAATCAACAAGAATAGGGCCAGGGAGAGGGGATCCAAACTAAATAAAATCAGAAATAAACCTGTCAAATTCACAACACAATATATACAAGGAAGAAAAGTAAACTAGACCATACTTCTAATGCTACCCTGAGTAGAATACATAGATTTTGCAAAGAAAGCAAACATATTCAAAATTTTATATTAATTAAGTTAGTTGTTGGAAGTATTATTGTTGTAACAATTTTGGAACTGTTCTGAATGTCTTACAGATTCAGAATTGTCAATGAACAATAAATTAGTATAATAAAACCAAGTCATCACTATAGAAATAGGGGATAAAATACAGAAAATGAAAAAGGGAAGCATGTGGTGTTGGATTAGAAATACCAGTATGATGATTGTAGACATATATATACTACACACATACCAAATATAAATACTTTAATCAAATCTTGCTCACTGAATTTTCCCCTTTCCAATCAATCCATTCTATATGGTACTGATAGAATGTTACTTCTCTGTCATTAACCTTTTATATCACCAACTACTTATAATATAAAACTCAAACTCCTTAGTCAATCAATCAAGTAAATATATTATTTTGTCCTCAAGCTAACTTTTCCATAATTATTTTCTAATTACTGACTTTTCAACTAAAATGCCAAAGGATTCAAAAGATCAGTTGAGTTTACTTATTTGTATTTATTTACTTATTATTGGTGGGGTGGGAGAGAATGTTACATATAATGATCAGATAGATTCTGAACAATGGACAGTACCTAAAAATAAAACAGAATCTTGATATGTTTAATGTTTTTTAATAAACAGTAATATGAATAGTGCATACAAATTAAATACCTGAGTCTTGGTTTTTATACTTTTTGGAAGACAACGTCCAGGAGAAGTAGCTTTCACCTCATCTTTCAACTTGGTAATATTTTTTGTCAAAACCTCTAAAGTCTTCATTATTTCTGCTTTATCTTCAGACTTCATTGCTTTATTTTTCTCTAACTTTGAAATCAACATCTGCCAAATTTTTAAACAGAAAAATCTTAGAATATTTGCCCCTACTACTATTTGTAAACAAATACAGCAAAGTAAATATAAAAATAAATACTACTATTCTTAATTTAGTATTCATGACTAAGCTAACAACTAGCAAGTATCTAAAGAATGATTTGGTGATGCTAACTGTATCTCCATTCAAGTCTTACTACTGGTTTACCTTGTAAAGAAATTTATTACTGTTTGGCTCTCTTAAAACATGTTCAAAGTATACAACCAAAAAAAAATTTAATTCAAATCCCGGAAAAGTTTTCAACTTGAAATAGTATAAATTTCATTTTCTCATTCATTTGTTATTATGCTTCTTCAAATATTCTCACTCTAAATATAGTCAGTGAGCTGGGGGGTGGGCAGAAAATGTATTTTATGGCCCCTTTCATACAATGAAAAACTAGGTACAATGTACAATTACTTTTCTTTGCCACAGGGAACAATAATCAGTTACCCTGAGAATGATATCCTTAACATGGAAAGGAAATAAGAAGATAAGCAAAATAACATGGGGTGAAAGAAACCACATAGTATTGCAAGTTCTATGAGTTAAGATGGATTTAGTTTTGTTTTTTTTTTTTTAATTTTAATATTTATTTCTTAGTTCTTGGCAGACACAACATCTTTGTTTTGCATGTGGTGCTGAGGATCGAACCCGGGCCGCACGCATGCCAGGCAATCGCGCTACCGCTTGAGCCACATCTCCAGCCCGGATTTAGTTTTTAATGTAAAGCACTGTGATTTCTCTTTATAAGGTATACCCAAACTTAAATTAGTAAAGACATACACTTCTAATTAAAATGTGGTTTCTATATTTTCAGATGTCCTATAGCAACCTACACATAATCAAGAACTGACACTAAATAAATGTTACAAATCAGAGAAAAACTGCCCCCAAAAATGAGCAAAATGAATTCAATAACATTTAATCTAATACATCCAAAATGGTAAATTTCGGTAAAAATTTAAAGACATCATCAAATTTTTTTCTTCTCCATCTTTGAAATTTGGTGTGTATTCTACACTTAGATTACACTCAATTGCTAGATGTCGCTACTGCACAACACAACACAGGACTAAGAGATCCCAAGCCAGTAAAAAGAGGTACAAATCAACACTGAAATAAAGCTTTCATTTCATTAACTTTTGATCAACCTACTGTGCAGTAACACAGATGAATGAATACTATACTGTTTTAACTTCATGCTGATAACCATAGTTCTGTTTAACCCACACCCATCTTTCAATGTCTATTCTTCATCCTCAACACAAAATATTAATAATACTGATGGGACAAAATCATTACAGCTATTTCACTTTTATCATTAACAATTATAATCTGTTTCTCGGGACTAGTTAAATAGTATTAAGATAAAATTCACAAAAAATCATAACATTTGTAAATACATTTTACCAAATCTAACTTTAGCATTTTACCTTCTGTGTTTCAATGTGCTTTTCTAAAATTTCTTGTTTCCTTTTCCTTACGTCCTGCTGCAGTTTCAGTGCCTCCTAGAGTCAGGTATCAAAGATATCATTAGAATATTATTAATGTGATAAAATAATTCAAGAGGAGAAAAGTGTTTATAATTGTAAAAGATTGGCAACAAAAATTATATGCAAAATTTGGCTATGTAAAACTTCTATGTGCAGATTTCAAAGATTGTAGCTTAGCGGTAGAGTGCTCGCCTAGCATGCGCAGGGCCCTGGGTTCGATCCTCAGCACCAAATATAAATAAATGAATGGAATAAAGGTATTGTGTCCAACTATGACTAAAAAAAAATAAATTAATATTTAAAAAAAAGATCAATCAGGAACCTTTTATTAAGAGACAATTTAATATTCACTGCTACACTATAGAACACAGAAGTTCAGCCACAGCCAACATACATCTTTTAATATTATTTTGTGACACTTTTCTTATATGCAAATTTTGTTCACTATACTAGATGTACTTACCTGTTTTTTTTTCTGTGCTTCATTATTATCAACTGCAGGGGTGGAAACAAGTAAGGCTTTTTGTGCAGCCTTCAAAGCAGCTGGATTATACACTGTTTTTGTTAGGCCAGTAGATGTAGACAATACCTACCAATACAAATTCAATTTCTTAAAAAAAAAAGTATAAATCTTTAATAATTTCCTAGGTTCTACCCTCTATGAAACTCAGCTTTAATTTCTAATAAAATTTAGCAAAATTAAACTAGATGCATTATATACTTTTAATAACTAAATCACATTTGATGATCTGAAAGGAAGAGTATGAATGAAGAATAAGCCCTAAATAAAAATATTTTCAAATTATCAAATACTTCTAGGGAGTGGGGAGAGCAAAGACAAACATACAAAAATATCAAATCAAGAACAATCACTGCCATTACCATATTGCTCAGAAAATACTAATTGCAGAATACATTAACTACTATCTATAGTGACTAAAGCAAAAATAACACAAAAGCATGGCACAGGAAAAAAACCTTATGTTGTTCGGCAACAATTTAACACAATCATTTGCAATTTGCAGCTCTGAAATAAATGTATTCATTCTCCATTTGTTTGCTAGCAATATTCTCTGCTTAAACTTATTCTCTTTAAACACAATTTAGGTTCAGCATAACACAATCAAGACTTTCAAAAAGTCCTGATCATTTCTCTTTATATGAAATTTTATACCTCCAGCTATCAGGTAAAAATACTACAAGCTACTTTTACCTAGCACTGGACTCAGTAAAAATGACTTGATAATATGTTGATGTGTCTTTCTTCTAGTCTATACTGTAAAGGCCTTGAAACAAATATCATGTCTTTCTCCTCTTTGTCCCTGTAGTACCTAAGTCTTACTCATCAACTCATGAATGGTGAGGCCGACCATGGCTAAGATGAGACACCTTTTTGGGCCTTAGTGCACTCATTTATAAAATGAAAAGGTTCAATTTGATCGTTATCTAAAGTCTTTACAAATCTCAAAATTTTCTCCTTGAAGAGGAATTTTCTTTCTTGGTATATTGCTATATCTTCTAGATACAGACATTATCACAACAGTGCCAGGGCACATGGTAAATACTCAAAACATTTTTGCACCCAACTAAACTGACATAGGTCAAAGAGCACAACCTTTTCCACAACAGGGTTAATTCAAAATAATAAGAGTGTTTAGGCTACATTTTTCTTTCTTTCAAAAGCGAAACAGTTAAAAGTTCCCTGGGGTGGTTCTAAGGAAAGAGCCTAGGGATCTCCTCAGGTAGATCTACAACTGCTACAAAAAATAAACATAAAACCAACTGTGTGAACACTGTAATTTTCCAGAGGAAAAAATATTGCTTATTTTAAAGTCTTAAAGGAATTCATGACCTAAAAAAGATTAAGCCATATACTCAAACGGAAGAGTATCACTGAGAAAAATCATGCTACTTTTTACCTACCAAAACATTACCATGTGGGTATATCAGAGGAGTAGCAGCAAACTGGAGACCATTTTCTAATCTTTTATCATAAAGATTAGAAACTCATCACTATTCTAAGTGTATAAGAAAGTCTAATGAGCCTCTCAAATAAAAATGAAATATAATTACCCTAACTCTATATAGCATAATTTTTGTCAATTAAAGTTCTTAATGTTTGATATACCAAAATCTGATCGGTAATTTTCTTCAATCATTAAAACTAATACTCAGATGTTACAAAAGAATATAAAACAAGAGTTAACCTCTTTAGTTTGTAGTCTAACTTTGATGACCATTCTCTATAACTTTGAAGAAAAATTTCTTCCCTGCTATCTTACCACACCAAACAATGCCAAACTCCCTGATTATACAAAGGAGACACAATAACTTGGTAAGGGGAGAAACATAAGATAATATGCTGAAAACAGAGTCTAATCAAGTATATCTTTCTTTCTTTATGAAGAATACATAACAAGTTGAAAAGTTGTGAGCAAAGATTTCTATACTCTAAGTAAATTGGAAACACTGAATATCATAACCTCATTTACCAGAGTCAAATGTTCACCTCATGCCAAAACCAGTGAGAAACCTCAAAGCAAGGAAATCCATGTAATAAATTTTATCTAGCATTTCTTTAACTTCAGCGAACAGGAAATACTTCTTTTCAAAGTGTCCTTAACATATGATATCAGAGTAAAGAGTGTTGCTTTAAAGTGAATAAAAGTATCTGACAAGAACCAGAAGACTACTAATAAAGGAATCTTCTTAGTCCTAATTGCTTTGTTTCATCCAGTAACTTTCTTCTCTAAAAATATGATATCTGAAAATGTATTTCAATGAGCACAAAACTCAAGCACTCTAAGATATATGAAGTAAAGTGCTTTCTACTGTCATATATCACTAATTTAAAAAAACCCTGTAAAGTGCAACCCAATAGCAGAGGTATTAAAAGGTAAAAAATGTGGCATAGAAATAATGAATTATGATTATAAATACTGTTCCCTAACTGAATCTATTTGAATCTAGAGTTTAGATAGTAAGATATCTATATTTTCAAAAGATAAAATCATAAACAATGGCCTTTCCAAACAACCACACTGTTATGGTTTAGATATAAAGTATTAAGTCTGCCCTAAAAGCTCATGTGTGAGACATATAGAAGTGAAATAATTGGGTTACGAGACCCTTAACTCAATCAGTGTGTTAATCCCAATAATTATTAACTGGGTGGTAACTGCAAGCAAGTAGGCTGGATCACTGGAGGTGTCCTTTGGAGTATATATTTTGTCCTTGGAGAGTGGAGCTCCCTCTGCTTCCTGGATGTCATGTTCCCAGATGCTTTCCTCAGATACTCTTCTTTAATATTTTTAAAGTTATTTTTAATTGACAAACACTGAATACATATATTGTGTACATTTTTAAAAATATGTATCTTATAAAGTGGCTCAATTGAGCTAACTGCATTGCCTTACATATTTTGCTGTAAGAACACTTAAAATCTAATTCTCAGCAATTTTAATATAATACAGTTAACTACAATCTCTCTTATACTTATCTTTTGAACTTACTCATCCTATCTGACATTTTATATCCTTTGACCAACATCTCCCCAACTCCCAACTCCAAGGTAAATCACCACCCTTTTTGAGTTCAACTATTTTATATCCCATATATCAAAAGGATTAAAAGAAGCAAAAGGCTTAACAATTTTACAAGGAAGTACTTTAATAAATATCAAAGAAAAAAATGTATATAGTCAATAGTTGATTTTTGCTACAATAGCTTATTTCCCAGAAAGTTCAGCAAATATTTCCAAATAAATCATATTTTCCTGTAAGAAAAAATAATCCAGGTAATTATCCTAAAAAGGATGATGCACTAAAAAGTTAAAATTAAAAATGGCCAGTAACAGTTATGAAAGGAAAAAACCCAACAAAACAACATAAATCTCCCTAATCTTTTCACTTAAAGTAGGAAAACTATATTAAAAATAATCAAATTTAAAAATCAAAGGGTCACCAGGCACAGTGGCGCACACCTGTAATCCCAGAGGCTCAGGAGGCTGAGGCAGGAGGATCTCAAGTTCAAAGACAGCCTCAGCAATTTAGCAAGGCACTTAGCAACTCAGCAAGACCCTTTCTCTAAAAAAAAAACATTTAAAAACGGATGGGGATTTGGCTCCATGGTTAGGCACACCTGGGTTCAATTCCCAGCACAAAAAATGAATGAATGAATGAATGAATGAATGAATGAATGAATGAATCGAAGGGTCATGAAAACAACTGAATTTTATAGTTAGGCATACAGAATAAAACTTTTTCACCATCACATATAATGCCAGTTACTAAATCAACAGCTGAACTCTTGTAATGTTCTTTCAATTATACTAGACAATTTTCCTTGATACTAATGTTAATGTATCACAATACAAAGGGATCAAGACTTATTTTTTGACTAAAAAATATACTACTAAACTTGGTATCATAAATTTGATATCTAAAACTTTAATTTGAACACTTTAAGTTTAAAAAAAAAAAACTAACAAGGATGGTAAACACCCACCAACCTTTATTCTTCATAAGTCTCTGTAGACTAAGCAGAAACACTCAAACATCACTTCAATGATCAAATCTACTCAAATAATACTTAATACCAATTGCAATATCTTTATCAATTAGGTTTAAGTTTCCTCTCTCCCAGCCTTCTCACAAAAATGTAATCTTAGAATAAATAACAATTACTAAAGGATTAATGGTTATCATTTACAAGAAGGTTGTAAAAGTTTCATTTATATATTCATTCACTTTAACAATGACAGAGGATATTGTACAAATACTAGCTTTGAACTTTCTCCTGATTTCAATTTAGGAAAAAGAAATTAAAACCTTTTAAATAATATTCGATGATGGGAAACATTCTTCTCATCTTCCTAAGATTCTCTGGATCTTTGCCCTCTAAGGATTCTGAACCAAAACCCTCTATTGGGTAGAACAGAAACAACCAAGAATACAAAAATATTATTCTGCAAATACATTCACTGAAGATGACTATATATGTTACATTCTTTTAAGTAACTGTTTTCCTTAAGATTTTTGCTATTAATAATTTTTTCCACAAATAGCCTATTCTCATTAGTGTTGTTTTTTTGTTTTTTTTTTTTTTTTTTTACAAATTCAATTAGTGGTTACTATATTAGTATAATATATATTAATATATACTCTCAAACCCAAATTTTATTCTACTGCTAAATGAAAGACCTTAAAAAATAAAGAAAACCACATCAAAGCACACTGCTAAAATTTTGTGAAAGCTTAGTATAAACTTCAATTCCAGAGTCTAAATCTTGATATAAACAGATCCTGAATACAACTGGGCATTTAAATATCTCCAGAATTGCTCATCAATAAACAAGTATAGCAGATCTTACAGTGTGTTCTTTTCAATTCCTAATATACTTATTATCAAGAAGGATAAATATAATCAAAGTAAACATTAATAGAATAGACTAAAATACACAAAAATGGAGAGGAGATACACCACATGGTGGTTTCATGGAAAATGTTAGAAGAGATTTTTAATCTCTAAAGAACAAATAGAACTTAAGTTAGAAAGGGGGAAATGTAATCCAGAAAAATTACCACCAAAAAGGGGACAGGGGAGCAGGGAGGCAGAAAAGGGCAAGGTAAGTAGAAAAGTATTCCCCAGTGTAGAAAGGAAACCCTAGAGCAAAACAGAACCACAATAACTGAAATATGGATGAGCTGTAAATCAAGTAAAGTAATTTTGCTGAGAAATTCAAAGTTTCTATAATGAATTAACATTAAGTCTGACAACAGAATGGTGACACATGTAAATAAAGAAGGGAAATTTCAAGATGCCAGCTCAGACACTACCATTAGAGGTCAGGGACTCTGCAGAGAAGAGAAAAAGAAATGAACTACAAATACGATTACATGAGTTTTGAGGAGTTCAGACTACACAGTTTAGAAAATGAAAGTATCACCTAAGTAGGGAGTAGGAGAAGTTAATTTATGTGGGAAATAGTTCATTTTAGGCATGTTATACCTGAAATAACAGTGAGATGCCCAAGAGGAAGGTCTGATGTATAGAATGATATTCAGATTTAAGTTTAACAAAGTAAATGAGGGAAATAGTATACTTAAGAATAAGTGATGACAGCAGGTTAGCTATCTCACTGGATGTTTTGTTTACCTTACTGGATGTTTTTATTTACCTTCGATGTGAATTTCCTTTGTAATCTTCAGAATGGAAAGAGCCATGGACTAGAAATAGGAGACACAAATTCTAGTCTGGCTCAGCAACTAGATCAAACTATACAACCATTGTGCCTTGGTCTACTGGGGACTTAGGACTATTCAATTCTAATATTATGAGATTTCACATACCTCAAATAAAATAAAGATCAAGGCATTCACTCACACCTAAACAGAAAAAAATATATATCTACAGCAGACAGATCCATAAATGGTCTTAACATAATCTGCATTTAACTCCTCATTCAAAAAAAAAAAGAACTAATGTATTGCAAGGCTATATCAATAGCTGTTCGTAATAAACTTTTAAAAAATTACAATTATGCCATCCCTCATCCCTTCCTGTTTACAAAATAGTTTTAAAATAAATGATTTTATTTAATCCTCAGAAAACCCGGTGAGCAAGATGAATATTACCATCACCATTTTACCAATGAGTAAAAAGATTGAGAAAGGTTAAGAGCACTGCCCAACATCATGCAGTTAGTAAGTAAAGAGCCAGGGTTCAAACTCAGGTAAAATTCCTAGTTCATGGCTCTTACTATAAGGCTGCCAGAGTTTAACTAAAATGTATCGTGTCTCTAAAGAAAATAAATATAAAGAAAAAACTAACAAAAACAATGGAGCAGATGGAAATAGAGAGGCAAGTATTAAAATGCTGATGCAAAAAGTAAAAAAACGGTAGACTAATATTTTTCATTTTCAGCAAATGGAAAGCAAAAAGGTAGGAATAAAAGATACAGATACTATTAAGAAGCAGTTTGGAACTATGAAAAAATTAAAAATTAAGATGCCACCTGAAAACATTTACAAAGCCAAGACAAACACATCATGCTATTCTTCTTACCTTTTCAGTTGCTGAAACAGATGGCTTTGATACAAAACCCAACCTGTCCTTCACAGATAACTTAGTTACATTCTAAAAAAATTAAAATGGACATATTCAGTGTTTCCCCAAACATATATAAGTCTGTTGGGATCTTGAACATTCTGGTTCTAATACATACTGAGTCTATGAGTATACAGATACTAATCATAGAAACTGAGGCCTATTTAAGGGGGGGGGGGGGAAATATGTGTAGAAAAACAAAAGTAAACAGTATACAATATTAATCATGAAAAATTATGATGTAAAATAATGAGGTCTGAACCAGGTGGTTACTGAAGTCCCTTCCACTGATAGGGTTCCCTATGTTAACAAGTAGAAAGCACATTTTAAATTAGATTTGGATAATGAAAACATGCCTGCTTCTAAAGCTTAAAAATGTGTGTCCCATACTTAGCTAAAAGATGTCATCTATTAGCTAAGTAGGATACCACATCCTAACTCTATTTATATAGCAAATCCTGAAACATGGAGAAAAAGGAAAGCCAAGTTTCACAGACTGAGAATACAGAAACAAGAAAATTCCACTTAAGGAAGTGGCAAGGAAATGATATACGGAGAAGAGCATCCCAAAGTCAGGATTAAGTGATGCAAAGTTTTGAGTGACCTGCTTTAGTATGTCAAACAGTATATCAAGCGTACTTAACCTGAGGTATTAAAAGCCTTCCCTTCCCAAAAGTTTTCAGTTCAGTACAATTATCTCTGGAACAGGATTCTAATTAAGTAAAAAGATGATGGAAAAAATAAGATTAAGTGTACTAAATTTCACTCTTCAGGCAGTTTTGCAGAAATATATCCTTCACAAAGTGAAAAAGAAATCTTTCTAATCAACAAGTGATAAATAAAGAGAAGAATTTAAGATACAAATACCAAATAGAAAAATAAAGACAGTGAAAATGTTATGGTAAAAACTTATAGGTGGGATTCTAATCTGTAAAGATCACATTTCTGTGTAAAACATATATAGTAACTATAATGCAAGTCACCGAGGGAAACTAATTTACTAGTTAATCTAATATTATAATAGATAATTTATTAATAAATAATAGATTTATATTTGATAGATAAGACCTTCCATTTACCTGAGGAAGGTCTGAACTAGCACTCTGGGCTTCTGCTGGTTCAACAGTAGTTGAAGGTACCGGGCCCAGTCGCTCTTTAACTGACTGCTTCACAACAGGCAAAATGGGCTGCTGGACTAAAGGTGGCATTACCTCAGAAGGAGAAAAAAAATTTTAAACAAGCTGATTAATTCAGGAGCTTGGAAAGTAAAACTTTGTTATAAAACTGTACTAGATTATCCGTGCATAATAAGTTTTAAAAATGTAGCTTATAATCAAAACTCAAATGCCTTTCAATTTTCTTTATGCATGCACATTTTTTTTCCATGAAATGACTTATAAACTACAGAAAAAAAATTTATGGAATACATATATAGCTACAATTTACTTAGTGCCGCCTATCTGCCAGGACTGTTCCATCTCGTTCTCTAAACTAGGAATTACCTTCACAATTAAATGAGAGAACAGGCTAGAGTGATTAAGTAACTTTCTTTAGTATATATAGTTAACAGTAGTAAAGTCAGGATCTCAACTCAAGTCCCGCCCGATTCATATATATACCTCTGTTCTTAGACAATATGCTAAGAACTCTTGGGAAAAAGCATTCAATTTCACACAAATCTCTCTCGTTACCTTTGGAGAAGTAGTTTGTAACTGCTGGGTGCTTCCTTCTCTGTGCCAATAAACCTTAATAAAGCGATTATTTAAAACTGCTTCTGTACTCGATATTGCTTTCTTTGCTTCTTCGTATGTTGCAAATTGGATAAGGGCACCTTCAGGATCACCATTATATGCAACCTATGATTTAAAATGTTAAGAAAAGTGAATTTCTAAAGGAATCTGTTTCTTCATACAGCAAAATTCCTCAAGATGTCATACACTCTTCCTTCCAAGTAAGATGCCCATCTTTGTTTACCTTATATCTAAAGTATGACCATAGTCTACTTTTATTTCAGGAGAAATAGTAAATAGCCAAGGATTGTTAGTGCATTAAAAGAGACTCTTGTTTACCAGCAAAGCTGACTGCACAAATATTATATACAGACCCTTAAAACTATTTCTCTTTTTACCTCAAATTTTAATACAGACCAAGAGAAAAAATTTCTGTACATCAATGAATGTGATGGCAAAGACTACTTTGGAAGGGGTGATTTCCAACTAAATAACATAGAAAAAAACATCTGTACAATATTTCAAATCTGTAATTTTCACAATACTTCTAAGATCAGAAGAAAATAAAAAGACCTATATAACAGCACCATCAATCACATTTGACACATAGGAAACAGATTCAAAGAATGTTTCTAGAGATAGACTCATACAACTAATAAAAAAAAAAAAAATCCAAGATCTTCACTCCCAATTTCCTATTCTTGCGTAATAGCAGTATTTTCGAAAGTGTGGTATATAAGCCACAGGCAACAGCAGTAAAGGATCGAGATTAACAGCATGGTCTGAATCTCACTGCCTGGCTCAAATCCTGATTTGACTCTCACATAAGAGCAAGTAAGTCACTTAATCTTTCTGTGCCTCAGTGTCCTCTTCTATAAATAATAACAACAATACCCACTTATTAGTGTTGTTTTAAGAATACAGCAATAACACTTAAAAAGAGCACATATTCAATAAATATTAGCTAAAACTATAAAAATAATTTTAGGTGGCATTTTAATAATTATAACATTTATTAGAATAACATCAATTTTTAATTATGATAACAAGGGTACTTTTAATGATTTTGCAAAACATGTATTTTGTAAATCATAATAATGCAAGTACTATGAAGACACAGGAAAGGAACAACAAAAATAAGATATTAACCTCATTAGTAATTACATAAATGCAAACAGAAACAATAGGGAGATACCATGTTTTGCTTTGAAACAATTTTTAAATTAATATTACCAGTGTAGTTAATTTTGTATATCTCAAAATTATCTGTTAAATGCATTCAACCACAGAAGTTTGTATGAAAAAAGGAATATTCTGAAAACTTTTTTATGTCTAGATATAAATGTGGTAGAGTAAACTGAACTGCCATAAAAAGATACTGAAATATTCCAAAGTAAATAACTATAAATAACTACAGGGTAATGTACATACTATGGACCATAAACATTTTTAAAATTTTTGCATGTACACAGCAATAGGTATATAAAAACAATCTAGAACAGCAAATGATAAATTATAACAATTATATTATTTTATATGGGTAGAGAAATGTGTGGAAAACATCAAGTTAAAAAGAAAACATTTCCTTAAAATTCTGCATTCATTTCTATTGCTCTACTCTGTACATGCATTTTTTCCCCTCCATTACTTTTATACCTGTGCTTTATAAAAGAAAAGTTTCTAAAGATCAACTCAGAATGAGCTATATCCTCTAAAATTTATTTTATTAGATTATAAAACAATTTAGTTGAAAAGTAGGCATAAGGGGGAAAACAACACTTTCAACATGTCACATAAGTTAAATAATACTTAAAAATCTCCCAAGTTTTATATACCCAAGGACAAATTTTAAGTGACATCAAACATAACTTATATTGTTGTTTTTCTTAAAGAATGTTCAAAAGTGGTAGAGAAAAGTACATGTTTAAATTAGTTACAAATTATGACACTGGTTCCCAAAATTAACTGTTAAGTGCATCCAATCACAGAAATTACAGAAATATATTTGCTCAAATGATTTTGCTGAAATGATTCTGACAATATGATCTAGAAAAACTCAGGAACTGAAAACTACTAAATTATATTTTAGTAGAGTGATTATTTAACTTTGTGTCATCCTTTATTAGGTAAAATATTTATACTAATATCATCAATCAAAATTCTTGCCCTCCAGCAACGAAGGAGACTGAGGAACTTAACTCAGTAAGGCCATATCTCAAAATAAAAAGTCCAAAAGGGCAGGAGATATAACTCAGTGTATAAATCAACAACTTATCAATCAATCTTTTTTTTTTTTTTTTTCTCTAAAAGGTAGTTTCATTTCATGTCTGCTGTGGTTTGGATATGGGATGAGTGTGTCCCTTTAAGCATTCATGTGTTAGAAGCCTATATTCTTAGTGTAATGATGTTGGGACATAGTGTAAACCTTTAAGAAGTGGGGCCTTATGGGAGTTCTTTAGGTTATCAGGGGAACAGCACTTAGAAGGGTTAAGGAATTTGTTTAGATAGTTCTTGTGGATCTCTGAGCTCTCACAATAGCAAGCACGACTGCATCAGTTCATGTTTTGAGATGTAATCACTTCTTCTCACATGTATTCCCATTTCGTAATACCATCCACCCTTAGGCCCTCATTAGAGGACAAGCCAATGGCACAACCTGATCTTTCGGCCCCCAAAACTAAGAGCTAAATATGCGTCTTTTGTTAGCCTGCATCAGGTATTTCACTACAGTAACTGAAAACAGACTATTATAATGCCCAACTTTAGAATATTAACAAATTTCCATAATATTGCTTTATAAAAGTGGTTTTCTTATTAAGGTCCCTAAATAATTAAGCAGGGACAAGAGAATCATTTTATAGCTCTTACCTGTAAGTTAACCAATGTTCCAAATCGACTAAAATGTTCATTAAGTTTGCTGATATTATTTAATTCTGGAGGAACTTTTCTAAGTTCAAGTTTGGTATTTTCATTTCCAAACTGAACCTTCTTCTGGAAGCCTGGGCTGTTTGTTCTATTAAAATTTGGCCTATAAACAAAAATCAAGCTGATCAACACATTTATAAATCCTGAGCCCTATAAGTACAAAAGAATAAAGTTTTAAATATAAAACAAAAGTCCAAATTTCCCCCCAAAACTGAAAGTACTGAAAATTAATAAAAACTGAAGTAATTATCTTCCAAACAGCTTCTAAATTAATAGTGTTATCATCTTTCATGGTTCTGTTATTATAATACTTGGTTACTTTTTCAAACTTCTGATCTGCTCTTATTTAACATGCTCTTATTTAACATTTAACTCATACCCCAATTTAGTCAGTTTTCACAGATAACTTTTGTTCCATTTCTGCCAAAGCTAGTTTACTGAAATGTATCCTATTTAAAAACTTCAGTTAAATTTTAAATTTGGTTATTATTGGTTACTGGTACAAATAATGACCACCTCAACCTCTTTCCAGGTTTGTTTTTTTAATGTACATACAATACACTTGACATTTGAAAAGGGGACAAAAGTGTGACCCAGAGTGTACTGTTGGCCTTAAATCATAGAAATAATCACAAAGCCAGAACTAGAAACTATGTGTTTTTAAATATTAAAGCTCAAAAGCATGGTCCTCATCTCAGTTCACAAATGAAAATTTATAAATGACTCATGACACCCTCCCCAACATTCTGATTCCTTATACCTTTCTCTGAACCTTTCCTACATCTTAAATCCGGTAACAACTCTTTCTAGCTCTTAAAGAGAAATGGCCTATATGCTAAGATCTTCCCAGACCTAATCCATACCTTTTTTTCCTAATGATATGGTATTCATGACCACCCTTCATATACCTAGTATTAAAATATATGTCAAGTAAAGAGTAATCTCTTTTGGAGGAAGGGGAAGTAGATAGAAGAAAAAGCAATGTGGTTCTTAGCCACTATACTGCTTTTACAAGAAAATGCCTTTCTAGTACCAAACAATGAACTTTAAAATTTCTAGAAAAAAACCTTAAATTTTATTTGGGGATTTGCTTATAGAACAGAAAAAATGTAACATATTGTGATATAGTAATAATCCCAAAAATCTGTGTACAATATAATTCTCCAATTTTTCCTGTCAGCTTACTTATCAAACCAAGTCTTCTTTGTAGGAACTCCAGGCTCTCCGGAACCTATGGTTCTTTTCCTTGATTCTGAATCCACTACTATCCTCATACTGCTTTTATTAGGAGGCTTTTCTGTGTTAAAACAAAAGAAAATGAAAGAAAGTATAGATTAATATTTCAGTTTTTTATAGCTACTTCCTTAAATTTATATTTAAAAAGTTCTGGCTTTTTGTGTGTGTGTGTGTGTGTGTGCGCGCGCGTGCACAAGAACATAATCAATAATTCTCAAAAGCCAAATAAAAACGTGATTTGTAAGCTACTTTTTTCTCTAAATGTTTTTATTACTGCCGTATAGTATACATAATAGTGGGGTGGGGTTCATTTTGGCATAATTATATATGTATGTAATATAATTTGTTCCATTTCAGTCCCTAGTGCTTCCTCTTTCCCTCCTCTCACCTTCCTCTATTCCCCTCCTCTATTCTACTAGTCTGTAGGTCACTTCATTAAGGGTAAAACCCATGTCACCACTCCCATCTGCCATCACTTTCACAATTCCATATAAAAATATACAAATAAATCACCTTGAAGCAGAAATTCAGTTTTAAAGTCAAATGTACAATCTAAGATTTTAATTTACCACTGACTGAATGACCTTTAGCAGAGTTGTGAATGAACTGAGCTGCCTATCTAAAGAGGAACATTAATATAATGAAAGTTGTCCCCACTTAAAAAGGAAAATATTTGAGACTGAAATATAGTGCAAAAGAGCTATAAATATCAGCTATTTTCAATATTTTACACATTTCCTGCTAAAAGAGCCTTGGAACAAAACTGCCTTACTTTCTTCTAGTCTGTTCTACGTGGACTTTTTGCTTCTAGATTTTTCTCGCTGTCAACTAATCTATACAGAAGGAGGCCCAAAATCAATACTCTAGAGCCCGACTGTTTTTCTTTTTATCTTCTTCTACCTTTCTCATGGCACTGGCACTTCTCATCAACACATAAACACTTAATTCCACACCTCAAATTATTCCATTTTTACAAACAAAATCCTATAAAACAAATCTCCCCTTCAGCTACTTTCTCTTCTCTCTCTGTTAGTCCCTCCATATCTCATTCCCAGCCATTTCCTAAGAGAATTCTACTCTTGGCTAACTTTATTTCCTTACTACCTACTTTTCTCACTCACTAATCCTCTGAATGTTGACAGCTGCTTCCATTATTGCACTTAACTTGCTCATACTAAGATCAATGATGTCATAACTTGTTGCTTGGTCTATGAATACTTCTCAGTCTTCCTCTTACTTGACTTTTAAGGAGCACTTGCTGTTGTTGATCACCTTCCTCTCCTTAGATATTATCCTCACTGTATTTTCAGAAATTCCTACCCATTGCTTTTATCTTGTACCCTTTGGGCTTCATTTTTTTCAGTCCCTTATGTATCTTCCCCTATTTATTTGGTCTTTCTCCTCTCACTCTATGCAGTCTCTAGGACATCTTGTATCCATTACCATGGCTTCATTCATCTTTTTCAATGATTCTTGGGAGTAGGCTGTGTATGTGCGGCTGGCATGGGGATAGTTATCAGAAACACAAAAAAAGGGTTTTAGAACTTATATTCAGCCAAACTTGCAAACTTTGTTACAGCTTCTTTGATCTTCCCTTACCTTCACACTGTTACTAATATGACAGAAGATTAAAAGCCAATGTACTACATATTTGTGACTTCAAACATCTTTATTTTCTAGTGAGCTATCTCTCATGGACCTCATACTTCTAAATCCTACCTCCTACTGAATATTTCTACTCAAATAACTGATAGGCACAATAATTAAAAACTTCCAAAACTAAATTTATCTTCCTAACAAATCCGTTCTTCTCAGTGAATGATATTATCATTTGCCTAATTATCCAGGGCAGAAATCTGGTACCTAATTTTATCCTTTCCATTTGTTCTATGTTATACCCCACACACAAGTCAGCAAGTTGTAAATGTCAATTCTATTAAACCTATTTTAGCAATTCCCACTGTTATTACCCTAACCCAGATACTATCACCTCTACTACAGAATTCTTTAAATGCCTCAACTGGCCTCTTGACTCCCTCCATATCTCTTTCTTCCTATTCCAAAAACAAATTCTTTCAGTTTCTCAAAAATATCATATAAACAGTGCACATTCTTTATCTATTTCTTTACTCTAGTTGATTTATCTTCCATCTCCACAGAAGATCAGGTGGAAATCTCTGACTTGCATTAATAATGGTCATAGCGCAAACAGCAGTTTCTACACCCACTAGAACCATGACCAATTCTGCAGTGAGATTTTTAGTCTTATTCCTGTTTCCTATCTCCGGCTCACTGGCCCTTTTGGACAATCTTTGAGCTCTCCAATATTGTTTTTTCACTTGAATATGTTCTATATCTGAAAACTCACTAAAGGAGATGGTAGTGTTTTCCTTCCAGTAACTGAAATGGGTTTGTGCCAATTCACCTTTATTCTCTCACTCAGATTCCCTTTCATTAATATTTACTTAAAAGAAAGGTGTTAAAAATAAAGATGCAAGTTCCTCTTGGTACATAGTCAGTAAATGTGTATAATCCAGAACAGTACATTTGAAACCTAAATAGGAGAAAGATGAGAACATACGGATGAAAGAGAATACTGAAAAAAGACATGAAAACAGAAGTACAGGCAATCCTCAATTTAAATGGGCTACAAAGTCAGTTGTTTGGTACATTAATAACAATGTTATTAATGTAGAATATATCCATAAATTAGCTCACAAAAATAGTGCACAATGTAAAGAAGAGTACTAAAATAATCACTATGAATTACAATGTTTATATGAGAAAAGGCATTCAAGTTTCAAAGTAATGATGCCAGACTGCAAGACATTTACCTCTCCATCACTTCCTGTAACTTATAACTATATGCATTAAGAGTTGAAATTAACAAGAAAGAAATAGTTAAAATTACCATTAACTCCAAATTCTACATAGTAAAAATTATATGCAAGTGTTCTAATGGCTCTTCCTTCTTTCAATCACAATTAGAAATCAGTCTGTCATTAGAATGGGTCTAATATATATTAATCTATAGTGGCATATATTTATGCCATTCCAAATCAACAAGGTAAGAAAGACATGACTTGAAGTATCAAGAGAGCAAGGAATATTAGCATGAAGAAAAGAAAGTAAGTGTTAAATAGTGACCTAAGGAAGGAAAGGGGATTTCTATAAACTAGTCAGACAGGAGAGGCATGCAGAAGATGGGTAAATATCACAAATAGCTACAATTTTAAATGTCTACTTTTCAATTATAACAATTTACATATTACTACACAGAAACTATCTTTAAAATCTTTTTTCTACTGTTGTTAATGGTAATGGTAATTATTGTAATGCCTTGAGGTGAATTTTAAAGACAGATGTGAGAATATAGGCATATATATTAAATATCCTCTAATCTCAAAGAGAATATAAATTTGAATTAAAATATTCCTCACACTCCCATCACAAGAGGTTCTTCAAATTTAAGAAAGATGTTCAGAATCTGATTGATAGCTGCCAATGAACAAATAAAAAGCACAGAGTATAAGTAACCACAGTTTATTAAACCACATTTTAGGCAACGATTGTTACTTAGGTTGAACTTTTATTCACAACCAATGAGCTTTGATTTTGTTTAGTCTGGCTAAGTAAGACAGAAGAAAAGCCTGGAATACACTTGAGGTTTTAAAGTTAATTCCAGGTAAACAGTCTCTATTACTTCTGGTAATTCCTTGGTTTTCCTGTATCAAATGTTATCGGTAGCAAATGTTTTTCTTTCAAATTAGTGTGAACTCTGTCCTTCCTCTAAACTTACTTAACAATTTATACCTCTAGTTTAGCACTTTTCTTGATGCCCTGGCCTGTGATGGGATCAGTCTAATTTTTAGAAATTTTATCTAAACGTTTTTAAAAATGAGTCACTTCCTAACACAATTCCTGCTGCTTAAAAATATCATAAGCAAACCTATACAGGATTTTAACATTTCAAAAGTGAACAAAAATAAAAATATACATCAGCACAAGTTTGAAAAGATAATTTCATTATCCAAGTGAGGACAGAATTAAGGAATTAAAGCATTACTGTCAGGAATTTAAATGAACCAATTAAGACTACAAATTGAATAAAATGTAAGAAACTCCCCCCCAAAAAAGCTACCTGAGAAAAACATACTTTTGGGAAATTTCCCTCTTTAACAGAATAAAGGCCCCTATAATACAGATACAAAAGTACACATTTCCTTTTTTCTCATGTGAGACCAAAGGATTCAGGCAACAAAATCACCATCCCTAACTCAACCCAAATAACTGCAGGAGTAATTGTTCTTTATAAATGATTTCCCACTTTGATATCATAAAAATAAGAAGATTCAGTACCTCTTGGTGGTAAATCCATATCCCCTGATGTTAGTCCTATCAAGTTAGGCCTTTGTGCATGCACTCTGTGTCTATACATAGGTCTGGAAGTGTTTGTTATGCTTGGGGCTTCAGGATTGTAGCCATCTGTGTCATATGTATCTGGTAATACAAAAACTGTAATTAAAAAACAATTATAAAACTCCATGTGGTAATTTTTAAAATACTGATAATAGAAAAAGTAACTGGATAACATTACTAACATAAAACTTAACATGTTTTATATTATTAAAATGAAAAGCTTTATAGAAAGTCCTAAGAAGAAAACTGGCAATTTTCTTAATAATTATACCTGAGGGATTATTTGATATATATTCACCAAGAATACATTGTATCCTATTTTATTTTAGTAAGAAAAACTGTCCTGAGACAGCATTGAACTTTCTAGAGATTTTTAAATTCCTCATCTAAAAACTCTGCTTTAAAACTATATTACACTATGAAAATAGAGGGCCAAAACTGCACCTGCAGTAAAAAGAGAGGGTGGAGCAGGAGGAGGTTGGTGATGAATGCCAGTTGTTACTACAGTAGGAACAGAACTGGTTGCAGAGTTTGGGGGAGCATCCATGCCAGATGGCTGCAAAGGAGGAAGTGGAGGTGGTGGTCCTGTCAAAACCAAAGAATAAGAAATATCATCTGGAAGCAAACAAATAAAATAAATTATTATATATCCAAACATGATATTCTCATTTATCAAACTGTAATCTTCTACAAACACCAAAATCTTACAACTAGTTTTCTATGGCACATCATCCTTTTAACGTATTCCAAAAGAGGTTTGCTTTAAACTATAAAGGACTAAAGGTAGATGGGATATATCAGTGACATACATAATTCACAAGGTCATTCCAAACCACAGAAAAGTGTTTGGCATAGGATGCAACATGTAGGTATATTCCAAATAAGAATATATTGCTTAATTTCTATTAGGCATCTATGGACATTCTTTAGATGCTTTTAACAAAAGCAAGTATCAAACTATTGACTTTATAAACAGAGTATAAACAAACAGATAATAAACACAGACAAACAAACATATCTTCTGACCTGTTACAGGTGGGAGACTGGGTGGTAATGGACCTGGAGGTGGCACTGGGGGTCTGAGATTCACAGGCGGGGGTGTAAGAATTGGTGGAGGTGGGGGGAGTCCAGGAGGAGGTGGTCCTTCAACAACAGGAGGCTGTGCTGGGAAAGGCAACATGCCAGGAAGATTGACATCTTCTACAACTACTGGGTCACTTCCATGATCAAAAGGGCACATGTCTCCTCTCATACAAAAACCCTTTTCTGTGAGGAAAGTTAAAAAGAAATGTGAAAAGCACGGGAAATATAAATTGTCTCTAAGTTAAGAAAACTAAAATACTTACAAGGTGACTGTTTTAAATATTGGGCAAAAATGTAATTAATTAACCACTTCACATGAATAATCTGCACTTTTCCAGTAATATAATCAAGTGAAAATACATCTAACATATACACTTAAAAAAATCACCAGAATTAAAATAAGTATACCCAGTTAGCAAATAACATAAAACTGATATAATTTCTAGTGTGTTTTTCTTATTAAAAACATATTCTTCATTTAAATCTCTTGTTTAAAACTAAAAGAATAGTGTGACTATGGTTTTAGCCCTACTCATAAAATTTTTACACCAAATCCTTATAAGTCTTCAATTCTCATAAAAGTCTCATATGTCAAGATCCTTTTTACATTTGAACAATCACTCATATGTAAAGAAGTCAGTTTTGCCAAAAATGTTTTAGTAGCCAATTTCTTTAAAAATAACTCAGTAGATATTTATTCTTATTTGGTAAACTTGAACAATATATTAAGACTTACATACAAATAAATACTATTTTTAAGCTGATACTAAGTTATCAGAGGTGACTGATCAAAGTACAATAATATTAGGGAACTTAAGAGATGATAAAAACTGATTTCTGACTATTTCTACTACCAGAAATTAAGTGTCTGAATAACTATACAACTGAAAGAAGTTAGGAAGCTGAAGTATTAATTTAATACTTTATGAAACAGTTGAAAAACACTTACCATCATAGTCTCTACACCTTTTCTTTGGCATTGGTGGTCTTACAAAAGAGTTATGGTCCACCTGGTCTTCATGAAATTCAGACCAACTTTCAGTAGTGTTATTACCATGATGAGTGGGTGCAATTACGGTAATGGTGCTGCTCAAAGTAGGTACAGGATAGTGGCCAGAAGAGATATTGGGTACCGAAGACACTGGAGTATAATTATTTTCTAATGGATCTGCTCTATCCAGGTCGTATTTAGGTTTTACTAGATCCCTTTCTGCAAACAAAATATAAATGACTTATAAAACTACACCCTATTAAAAAAAAAAATGTACAAGATATAAGAAATATTTTTGCTAAACATAGAGAAAGTTTAAATTTTGCACAATCCTTGTTTTATTTTAAAAACTATTCAATTAATACACACTGTTCCAAGGTAAGTTATTTCAATATGAACTAAACTATAAAACTACCTGAAAATGCAGTATTTAATGAGTTTTTCCTATGCATTTTGTTTATACAAAAAACCAAATTTGTTATTTCCTTTATTGCAATCCTAGTATGTATAATTGCAGCCTATAAAACAAAGTATTTAATAAAAAGTATGGCTATTTTTCGTGTGATAAATATTTTCTTATTATCCACCTAAAGATATGGCTTTTTTATAGTGAACACAATATTTTATAAAATAATAGAGCCAGGGATGATAGTATACACCTATAATCCCAGTGAGTCTGGAGGCTGAGACAGGAGGATCACAAGTTCAAGACTAGCATCAGCAACTTACAGAGACTATGAGCAACTTAGTGAGACCCTGTCTCAAAATAAAAAGGAAAATGGGCTGGGAATATGGCTCAATGTTAAGTATCCCTGGGTTAAATTCCTGGTAGCAAAAGAGGGAAAACAAAGGAGTTCATATTAAATATAAAGAAAACTAGGCTGTATATGATTCCAAGCAAGAGAAAATACATTAAAGAGGTTAACTGGCAAAATGTGTGAAGAACCTAGTATACCTACTCACAGAAGAAAAGGCTATAAGAAAAGAATAAACAAGTTCAGGGCTCAAACAAAGCACATTAACAGTATTAAAAGTAACAAAAATATAAGTTTAAGTATTTTATTCAAAGATGTTTTAGTCAGATATCTCTTTCAATAGTATATACTGGGGACAGGGAGGGGGATCACAAGTTGGAAATGACAGTTTCTTGCAAATATACACATCTGAAATAAAACTTTTAAACTATTATAGTTCTGAGGTATAACTGATAAATAAAAATCTAAATGTAAAGTATACAATGTAAAAAGTTGTGATTCATGTATATACCTCTGAAACCACCACCATAATCAAACTAAATATACTCATTACCTCCAAAATACACTCATAGTCCCTGGTAATCTGTAATCCATTCTTCCCTACTTCATCTTAGGCAATAATTATTTGCTTTTTGTCATCAAAGCTTATATTTTCTAAAATATATATATATATATTATATACACACATGCACACACCATATATGTATATATACTTACCTGTATTCTTTCACTCAACAACTCAACATAACTACTTTGAGATTGATCTACTTTGTTAAATGTATCAATAGTTTTTTTTTTTTTTTTTTTCCCCCTTTTTATCCATGTTATGGTACAACTATGTGTTTATCCAACTACTCATAGACATTGGGGTTGTTTCTAGTTTTGGCTATTACAAATGAAGCTGCCATGAACATCTATATGCAAATCTGTGTGAACACATGCTTTCATTTCTTTTAGGTAAATATCTAAGAGTGGAATGGGTGGGTCCTTTATTAGATGCACATTTAACATTTTAAGACTCCGCCAAAATGTTTTCCAAATAGCCACTTAAGTAGTCTACATTCAAAGAATGAATACAGTCTTTTGCTGTAGATATCCTGCTAAATGTACAGTGATAATTATGGTTTTAACTTTCATGGAATAAACTTTTAAAGTAATCTGTTTTAAAATATACACTTAGACCACAGAATACATCATAACAGACAAAAATAAAGATAAAATTGGCAAAATGTTGAACAATTTTTAAAAACCCATAATGTGAATTTTTTTCACAGTAAAAAAATGCTAACCAAAAAATATATAAACTTGTATTATTTACCCCTGCTTCGTGTTCTGCTTCTGCTTCTAGTCCTGCTTCTATCTCTATCTCTGTCGCGAAGCCTTTCTTTACTCCAACTCCGACTTCGACTCCTGCTGTAACTGCGACTTCGCCCTCGTCTTCTATTGTACCGGTCTCTGTATGAATCTCTTCGAGGAGGGTTTCGATCATAATCTCTTTTGCGAGAACGATCATCTTTTTTCCTCTCATCACGACTTCTAGAGATATATGATCACTTTTATGTAAATAAAGCTAAAGTGGACAGGGTAGAAATCTCTAAACGCAAAAAGTTGCATTTAATTCTTGTAACATCATTTTTTTTATCTCACCATCATAATACAAGTATGGGAACTACCAGAAAACTTTTAAGTACTCTAAAAATGTTTAAAAGGAAAAACTTTTTTAACAGCATAACCTTAATCTTATACACATCTACATCTACACAATTAGTCATCTGTACATAAAGGCATCTATACCTGTCTTTACATTACATACAGTACAAATAGTCTTATACATATAATCAGGCATGTACTACATGTATATACTAACACTGCTGAAACCATAAGGGAAAAATTAATTTAAGCAAAAAGTAGTTGGATTCCCCTGCAATCTGAAGTTAGAAATAAAAATAATAAACAATAAATAATAAATGTCAAATATTATTCTCAATCTTTCCAAGCTATACAAATATGATCTAGATTTTTCTTTGTAGAGAAGGACCTAGTTATACTTTCCAGGATAAATAAAAGAGTAGACATTACTTGCCCTTATGTAAAAGATAATCAAAGACTATACATTCTTATAAAAGACAATCTCAAAGTCTAAACATTGAGTATGATTTAATGAAATCACCTATTTTCTCTGTATCGGGAACTTGACTGGGGAGGACTGTGATTTAGCCTTCTGGAAAACTTCTTCTCTCGCTCTTCTTCTTTTGTAATCTGATATTTTTTAAAAAGTACAAATTTAGCAACAATTATTCATTGTGATATTACTATTTCAATAATTTATGATATTTAAATTAATTTATATAATATAGGAGCAATATTTTCCTCTCATCATGACTTCTACAGATATATATGGTCACTTTTATGTTAAAAAAAAAAAGCTAAAATGGATAGATATGCAAACAATATGCAGATATGCAAACAAAATAAATTTCACTATCAAATATAATCATTTAACCATAATGGAGTCTGCTCAAATTTAAAGTATAGAGTAAAAAAATTCATGTTTATCTTAAATAATAGTGGTAAGAAAACAAATATTTAATTGTCCTCATTTTAATATAATTAACAGAAAAACACTTTACAATTTCTTTCAAAAATCTAACATACATGCTATGTTTTGGTTTCATAGATTTAGTCTTATACCAAACACATAGAAGAATATAATAGAATGCATAAAAACTAACCAAGTATTAAAAAAGAAAATATTTGAGGACTGGGAATGGGTGCAAGGCCCTGGTTCATCCCTAACACAGGAAAAATAAAAGGAGGGGAATGGTGAAGAGAATATTTGAGAAAAATATGTATAGAGCTAAATAGTTTCTCACTGCATCCTGTCAACTATATAAGGAAACATTCCCTTGATCAGTGCTACTTTTTCCAGATTGTACAGCCCAGAACACTAGTTTCACAGAATATTAATGTATAATAAGAAACAAAGGAATTAATACTGAGCATAGTTTCTACAAATGTGTCAGGGCTTAAAATTACTCATTTGCATGAAGAACCCTGTTCTGATTCAAGTAATCTATAGGCAGGATACACATATCCCAGTTAATACCACCTTTTTCAGTATTCCTTTGGATAAAAACGTCTATCAAAAGTGTACCACTTGAATAAATTAAATGGAAATTCTACCATTAGACTAAACTAGGTGAATATTTTATAATGCTTTCAACAGTTTACTTCTTCATCAAGTACTTTTCTCTTCCCACCTACTCCAACTCCCCTCTCAACCCAGATTAAAAAAACTGCGAACTAATACAACCGTCCTGGTGCACTTTTCCTTTCTATTTGCCTCAACTGTCCTCTTGCAAGTAATTTAAGTTGGCAGCCATATTCCACAGCACATGCTCGACTGAAAATTTTTAATACACCACAGCATTTTAAACCCAAATTGCCACCTGGAATTATGATAGTTCTAAAAGATCAGGGATAAATATTCTCCACAACTGGCCAAGTAAAAAGTATTACTGCATCAATAAACTTAAGACTGTTTTATCGCTAACTTGCTTTGGAAAAAGACTATTTCTTACATCAAGGGCCCATTATTTACTAAAGTTTTTTTAGAGACAGCAAAAATCTGAAACCAACCCAAACTTGTATCAATGAAAAAAGCTTAAATTATTATATATATATTTATGTGGCACAAGAAATTGCCAACAAAATATGTAGGTCTTTTCCTAATATATCCCACACAATGGTAGGTATGAAAATGCTCAGTTACAAAATTACAATTCTTGTCTTCCCCTGCACATAGAATTGACTGGGATGTTTGTGTGTAGGTGTAACTATATATAAAACTATACATACATGTAAATAGCTTCTGTATGTACACATGTATATAAATATATTCAGAAAGACAAAAATACACTTGAGAATTATTACATAATATATGTACATATTATTACATAATAAACTATATTGCTTATATCATCTAGGAAAAGAATAGGAAAAAATACACAACCATAATTCCCTTGTGTTTGACTACCTTAAAAATACTTCCTTACTGGGCTGAGTTGTGGCTCAGTGGCAGAGCACTCACCCACACATGTGAGGAACTGAGTTGAATCCTCAGAATCACATATAAATGCATAACTAAAATAAAGGTACTGTGTTCATCTACAACTAAAAAAAAAAAAAAAATTTTAAATAGTTCCTTACTAAGCAAATGAAGGATAGAAGCAAACAAGTCTATTGTCATTCTAATTGTTTTCATAGGACACAAATGATGAGACTCCATGTTTTTAAGATATTGTGCACAAAAGAGTTAAAAGCAGGTCTAGACTGCTATTTTCAGGAGGGCCTGGCTTATAAGACTGGTCCTTGGCTGGTGTTATGCTTTGGATCTGCAATGTTCCTCAAAAGTTCATGAGTTGAAGGCCTGGTTCCCAATGTAGCAAACAGTCAGAGGCTAAGACTTTCAGAAAGTGATGGGATCATAAGAGCTCTAACCTCTTCAGTGGATTAATCCACTGTTGGCCTCAAGATTTCAACTGGACTGTTAAGAGATGGTAAAAACTATGGGAGATGGGAACTAACTGAAGGGAGTAGATCTTGGGGGCATGTGCTTAAGGACCATATTTTGCCCCCAGTCCCTTCCTCCAGTTGTTTCTTCTTTGGTCAGTATCTTTCCTTTGCCACATCCTTCCACCATTATGTTCTGCCTTGCCTCAGACCTAAAGCAATGGAGCCAAATTAATAATGGATTGACACCTCTTAAACTGTTAGCCAAAATAAATCTTTCGTCCTCTCAGTTGTTGTTCTCAAATATTTTGATCCAGAAATGAAAAGCTGACTAATATAACTGACTTCTGCAACCCTTGATTTTGTTAGGGTTTCCACCATTCACTGATTAAGAATGACTCACTGGCCAGGTACAGTGGCACACACCTACACGTAATCCCAATGGTTCAGGAGGTTGAGGCAGGAGAATCACCAGTTCAAAGCCAGACTCACTCAGCAACTTAGCAAGACCCTGTCTCCAAAATAAGCAGCTTAGCAAGACCCTGTCTCCAAAATTAAATGGTTCCTGGAATTAGTGGTCAATTAGTGGTTTAAAAAAAAAAGGCTAAGTCTATTTGTGGTAACAATATGATTTATGCCCAGTACCTACTTTCCTTTTGGGAGTATAGAATCTTGGTACATACTAGGTAGAGGGTGCCTACCACAAATAAAAACCCTGGGAACGGAGTCTCTAACCAGCTTCCCTGATTCACTTACATCATCACAACTCACTGTAGGGGAATTAACATATCCCATGTGACTTTAAGGACTTTGGAAACTTTAGTCTATATTCCACCAGATTTCACCTAATACACCTTTTCCTTTTACAGATTTTTGATTTGTATTCTGTTAAGAAGTCACAGCCAAAAGTATGACTGCATGCTGAGTCCTACGGGTGCTCCTGGTAATATCGCCAAACAGAGGTGGATCTTGAGGACTAGTAACACAAAGATACAGAAAATAAAACTATTGTGCTTAAAGGACCTGTAAGGGATAACACAAATTCTTACCTCTTCTTTTTTTATATCTTTTTCTTGGTGCTGAAAAAACTCTACCTTCAGGCTTCCTGATGATGGCTGCTCTGGAGGAGGTAGATAACTTTTTGTATTCACAGCATCAAAAAGTTTTTCCACAAATATCTGTGTCTCTAAAAAAATAAATAATTAAATAAACAAACTAGATTAAAAGACATGACAAAAATTTTGCACTCTTACACATCAGACCTCCAATATGATGAAATATATCTTGACTTATATAAATCTAGAAATTATAATAAAACCAACAGCTTCCCAATCATTATATAATAGCCATGGTGATAATGATTTGTTTAATCTGTTTTCAAGGTAGGAGAGACTGGAATGGCTACAGCTTCTGGGCCAATCACTTCCCAGTCATGAATAGTCTATTTGATATAGCCCACCCACTATGTAACACAAACACTATTACTATCTAGATACTGACAAAGTGTAAAAGTTGAAAAGCAACATAGCTAGAAAAGATTCAAAGTGGTTTCCTAAGTGATACTAGTTTTGAATAAACATTTAGTCATTTTCTTAATCTTTTAACCTATGTCAGAAAAAACATCAGCATGCAATGAGCATATTCCTGTAATCCCAGAAGTTCAGGAGGCTGAGGCAAGAGGATCACAAGCTCAAAGTAAGTTTCAGCAAATAGCAAGATCCTGTCTCTAAATAAAATATAAAAAAGGATTAAGGAGAAAACTTGGAATGGAACCACCATTTGACCCCATTATCCCACTCCTCAGCATATACCCAAAGTTAGCATACTATAGTGACAATGCCACATCAATGTTAATAGCAGCTCAATTCACAACAGCTAAGCTATGGAACCAACCTATGTGTCCTTCAACAGATGAATGGATAAATAAAATGTGGTACATATACACAATGGAATATTACTCAGCCAAAAAGAAAAATAAAATTATGGCCATTTGCCGGTAAATAGATGGAAATGGAGAATATCATGCTAACTGAAATAAACCAGTTCCAAAAAACCAAAGGCCGAATGTACTCTGTGATATGTGGACAATGACTCACAATTGGGCAGAGTAGAGTGGAGGTTCACTGGATTGGGGGAAATGGGAACAGGAAAGATAACCCAATGAATCAGACATAACTTTATTATGTTCCTTTATGAATAAACAACCAGCGTTAACTCCACATCATGCACAATCACAAGAATGGGAATTATACTCCATGTATGTTGATGTCAAAATACATTCTGCTGTCATGTATAACTCAAAGAATTAAAATTAAAAATTGTTCTATATATTTTTTTAACTCATTTTTTAGTTGTAGCTGGACACAATACTTTTATTTTATTTATTGTATGTGGTGCTGAGGATTGAACCCAGGGCCTCGAATGCGCTAGGCGAGAACTCCACCACTGAGCCACAACCCCAGCCCCAAAAATTGTTCTATATTTAAAAGGATTAGGTCTCAGTGGTTAATTGCTCCTGGGTTCAATCCCTAGTACCAGGGGGAAAAAAAAAAAAAAAGAAAGAATGAGCATATTAATGAGGAAATTTCCATTTTAAAGCTATGGATATAATCAGAAACAACACTGTTTAACTGTTACAATTACAACCTATCTCATACTAAATTCCTTTAATGCTCTATGAATAATCTTACTATAAATAATTTATTAAAACAATAACAAAATACTAATTTTAAAATCAAAGATCTTACCTTTTTGAAGAAATACATCCAGCTGATCAATACATAATGCCTTTAACTCTTTTTCACTTTTGTCTTTCTTTACCAAAGCCAGAACATATTTTGCTAGGGCTGATGGATCTGCATCACAGCTAAAAAAAAAAAAAAAAAAAAAAAAGGAATGTTGAGGGTCTGGGGTTGTGTCTGAGTGGTAGAGTACTCATCTAGCATGTGTGAGTCACTGGGTTCAATCCTCAGCACCACATGAAAAAAATAAAGGTACTGTGTCCATCTACAACTAAGAAAAAAAAATTCTAAAAAAAAAGAATGAAGAAAATTTAGCTATAAATAACAGCACATCCTATAAATTTTAGGTACAAACTGACTTATAAGATATTACAGTTGTAAATTAATATGTGTAAAAATACTGCCTCATACAAGGCACTGAAGAAATATGATATCCTTATGTTAAAACACCTTACATATCATAAATTCTATTATTCATACAAGAAATGATACACATAATAGAGAAATCAGTTTGTTAAAAGGGTAGAGAAGAACTTTATACAGTTTGTTACCATTTGTTGGGGAGGAGGAGAAATCAAGTATTCAGATTGTTTACCTTTGAATAATTTATATGATTCAAAGGACAGAAGGATTAAAAAAAAAAAAAAAACTAATAACTATGGTTATTTGTGTCAGGGGAGTGATGGTGAGATCCAAGAGCAGAAAAGACAGGAAGGAAAGTTTCTGATGAGTGAATCATGTTCAAGATTTAACCCTAAATTTCACTGTCCGAAGTCTACACTTACAACCACTACACTAGACTGCTTACAAAAAGTTGCCCAGAAACCAGACCTCCATTTTTCACATCTAGTTGGTTTATTTCAGTTAGCATGATATTTTCCATTTCCACCCATTCAACGGCAAATGCCATAATTTCATTTTTCTTTATGGGTGAGTAGTATTCTATTGTGTATATGTACCACATTTTATTTAACAATTCATCTATTGAAGGACACCTACCTCCTCCTTTTATTCTCCACTTTTCAGTTTAATTTTCAAATATTTAAAACAGTCTCTAACCAATTTCTCAATCTCCTATATCTTTCCTTTTACCATCCTTCTAACTCATGGGCTTGGTGAAATCCCAACCTCTAACTGCCACCATGCCCAGCTGGCTAACTACTTTTTAAAATTTGTTAAGAATTCAAAATATAAACTAGAATCAATGTTTATAATTTCATATCTAAAACCAAAACAACTTGCACTTGGGAGGCGATTTTTTTCAAGTTATAGATGTCATTCCATCATTATTTCTGTATTCTGAAAACAAAGAAAAGGTATGTACTTGGCAGATTTGAGCAGAAAATAAACTGAACCATAAAAATTTTAATGATATACCAAAATGTTTTGATTAGGAATAGAAAGGCTAAAGATGTCCTACTTTTGTCTTAATTAAAAGAACCAATACTACATTATCTGAACGTCTAGTAATGATAATCTGCTATGAAAAGCATTTAAATTTACCTATCAAAAGAAAATCATACTCAGACAGTAAGGGGTTATTAAAAGAAATAGTCTCCATGGCAAGCAAGACTGTTAAGGAGATATTTTGCTATACTAGTTGCCACTGCTACTAACAGGTTTGTGATGTGAATGACACAAAATGTCTCAGAGCTAAATTATTTCCTCCACTGAAAGTGGGACTAAAATCTTCTTACAAACCATAAGAAAGAGGGCAGGGAAAATCAATTTTTGAAAATGTGACATACTTCCTTCCTATTTAGGAAACCGGTTCTATTTTCCCTGTGTACTTTTTAACCACCCCTGCAAACAATCATAAAATCTCCCATTAAAGAATGATTCTGACCAAACTGCTTTAACTCTCATCACCTGTTGGGGATACAGGTGGGAGAAGAAGAGTAAAGAAAACAAAAATTTAAAAAAAGAAAATCAGAAACTACAAAATATGCAAGGCAGGACACCTTACTTACCAACCACATTGGTAGAAAGCAGGCAAAGGGGGAATACCTTAACTATTTAGTGAAAAATATATTAAAATAAGATTAAAGTGTGAAACGGTAAGGGGGAAACATAAATCATAATGATGCAATAAAACAGAGAGAGAGAATAGTGCGGCTCTCCCATGTAGAAGAGTGCTATGGCTTGAAGTTCTAGGTACCACCTTTTATATTTTTTTAAAAAACAGATTCTTAGAAAATGCTCAAGATGGTAAATAGATGTCATTATTAGATGGCTTATGAGGGATTCTCAGCCTAGAGAATAGAAATGTCAGAGAGAACTCAGTAATCCTGCAAATAATATCCTAGCTATCACAAGGAAGAAGAATTACATTTATTCAAATGTCCTCCATGGGATATAATTACAAAGAGTAAATAAAAACAACAGATTTTTGTCTTAAAAATAGATGGACTTTAAAAAAAAAAAAAAAGGCCCCCCCAAAGCAAAATAAACTGCCTAAAAGTACAATAAACTACCTGAAAGAGAATTCTTCATTATTAGAATGATTTCAAGTATAGACTGAAAAATCCTTGGCAGATAAGCACTGGACTAGATAGCAAATGCCCCACAAACCTGAAAGAGCATAATCATTAGATTTAATTTTGTTCACAAGATATCATGCAAACATATGAAATATCCCTTCTCATTACCAATCTACCTAGCTATATGTATGTGAAAAATAAAAAATCTTTAAAAAATTACACTATAAATCACATACCATAAAAAACGTTTTACTGAAAAAATGAAAATTGAAAAACTAATTTTCTTAACTCTTAGAATCTGGGCCTATCATGGATCATTTTCATCTTCACAAAGTTTGAATAAAATAAAATAACTTATTATGTTTGGCTTGGTGGTTATCTTCCAATATTGCATTCAATACTCAAATACTTAATATACACTCAGTATGGCAGACATTATTCTAGATACTGAGGATATAACTTTGAAAAGAATAAAGTACCTGTCCCCACAGAATTTATATTGGGGTTGAGAGGACACACATATACATACACATATTTATGTAAATAATATGTACTGTCATATAGATAAGTGCGCTCTATAGAAAACTAATTCAGGGCAAGATAATGCATAGAGGAGGAGGAAAAACTAGAGAGAAGAAAGGAGAGAGGGAAGCAGGGAGGGAGGAAATGAGTGAAGAATTACAATCTTAGATGAGATCATCCAGGACTGACTCTTGACAAATTGTTTTAAACAGAGATCTGAATCTAGGCAGGGATTGCAATGAAGTACAACAAGATGTTTTATGGGAACAGTCCAGACCCAGTGAACCCAAGAGAAAGAGAGTCTGAGGCAAAAGCCTATTTGACATAATACAAGGAAAGAGATTCCGGTGAAATGGAGCAAAATGAGCATTCACCAACATTTAAATTTCGAATCTTTCATCTCTCCAAGGATTTCAAATTAATTGCTTCAGTGAACTTTGACAAATTAAACATCCAGATCACCTTAAAACCATTCACATAATGATTTAAAGGCATAAAAATAAAACTTTATCAATCTTTGAATATGCCATGTGAAGAATACAACAGATAAGAATGCCATTTTTATTTTGGAGGTTCACCTTCTTGCATAATTTTAATAAGCATAGGGGTGACTATCTAAGAGGGTTATTTTTCTTCCAGCTATATATGAGGAAGTATACAAACTAAATAAATTTGATAAGTCAAAGTAATATAGAATATCAAATCCTATAATAAAATCTCCCCCAAAGAACTGGATTTTAATATTGTTTAAATAACATGAATCAAAGTGCCCCTAGAAATAAGGGTTGCAATTTTTCCTAATCTACTCATCATATAATTGTTTTAGTTTATGATTTAGGATTTTTCAAAACAGTAATGAAACAAAGAAAACTATAACACTCCACAATAATATTTCAGGAGTTTGTTTTGCTCAAGTTTCTTGGAGGCTTTAGAAATTCAGTGGAAGATAACTGATAGAATTTAACCCCAGCTTCCATTTTCAGTAATCTTGAAAAGAAGGAGCTGGAGGTGGTAGTGGGAATTAAAAATTAAATTTAAATATGTTAACTCAGTAACTGAAGAACACGGATATACACCCACATCTGTTCCTACCAATTTTTCATTTTATATTCATGAAGAATACCTAATTTGCATCAGTCATAATTCTTTATTCTGTACTTATGATTACTTTTAAAAACCCAAATTTCAAGCAACAAATATGATACACACACTGAAATTTTTAATTGCTGTAGTTTATTGTGCAGTTTCATATAATCCAAGTAAGGCAAAACAAATTGATTGTGGTTAAGTGTTAAAGTACATGTTATTCGTTAAGAATTATTATATGCTCAGTTCATTCTACAAAATAAAATTACCACCAAAACATATTGAAACATGATCTGAACATAAGAATCACACAATCCACTTAATTTCCTCCCACCTTTCTTTACAAGAGGGGATCTCCAATGTTTTCTCAGATTCCCTTTACGTAAAAATTAGAACTCCAAAGAGCTTTTAGGGCTATAGCTATCAATATTTATTATATTAATAATGAAAGTGAGAAAGTTTTTAATTCCTTTAAACTAACAACCAATTACAACTTAGCATGAATATTATTTTCTTGAAGTCATCAAAGGAAGTATTGCTACAAATAAATGAAAAATCCAAAAGCATCACCAGCTTTAGGCATAGCTATTATCTAGGAGTTCAAATGATATACCAGGATACTACTTTGCTTTCCCTTTAGAGCATTTCATTTTTAGACCACAGAGAAGCAACAATAGACCCACAGCTATGTTATTCTCATAGCTAGAGAAAAGAACCTATCATTTTCTCCCTCAGGGTCTGTACTGGCCCATACTGAAAATGACTCAACCTCCCAGTCTGGGTCATATCCCCTCCGCAAGGTCAGGGATAAATAGAATTCCAAGACTGACCACCTCACTTAAACTAGATACTGTACTTTTTACAGGGGTTGAGGGAAATCCTATATTTTATAAAACAAAAGATTTTTTACAAGAATTATAATATTTCACATTTTGTTCAAATACCTTTAAATGTCCTGTTAATAGAAGGCAGACCAATACTTCTGCATTCCATCTGTTGTGACACTGTTTGGAAGTACATGAAGAAAATCTGGTCCT